TATACTTCCTCGCAGTCAATTATGATAAATCTTGTTTGTTAATGCTTGCCAATTTTGCCATCAGTTGACAAAAGTATGAAGGATTGCGTTAGTTATTTCGGACCAGTTGAAAGCTTCTGTGCTAGGTATGGAAATTTACTAAATTTACTGCAGTCTACATTTTACAATAAGGTGGTAGCTCACCTGGAGCCGACCTGCTGACCTGCTGGTAATAAAGAGCAGCTGTTCCTTCACATATAGTCTCGTAATTATTGCAGCAATATAATATATTCATTTTCATTTACTGTTTACAAACACTTTGTCATTGGTAAATTATATTTACTCTTTATTGGTCATATTTCTATGCAGAACGACGAATTTCCACTACTTGAAAAGGAAATTAAAAGATTTAGTTTAGTCCAGGGGACGCATTATAGCATAGTGAATATCAGTATATTATAGCACTGTATTAAAGCAGTGTTTCTTTCACGCTTAATTATTTAAAACGATTAAATAATACCTTCAATACCTTTAATACCTTTCAAGTCTTATGAAGATTCTACAAATGGTCTCAAATGTGTCCCTCTATCACGCAATATCACGCAATATCGCACAGTATCACGCAATATCGCACAATATCGCACAATATCGCGCTGTATCACGCTGTATCACGCTGTATCACGCTGTATCACGCTGTGTCACGCAGTATCGCACAGTATCACACACTATCACGCAATATCGCACAGTATCACGCAATATCGCACAATATCACGCTGTATCACGCTGTATCACGCAATATCACGCTGTATCACGCAGTATCGCACAGTATCACACACTATCACGCAATATTTAACAGTATATAGCATCAGAGATGTCAAAACAAATTGCGACCTGTCCACGAATTTAACTTGTGATTTGAAGCTTTGAATGATAGTATTGGAATGACTAAGAAGCCAAACATTTTGCCGAGTTAGCTGGAGTGTCGACCTTGACATTTCTTTTGAACAGGAGTTAGTGGACCGTAGTAAAACCTTTTCACACTGATACAGCAAAAAGTACTATATATTGTTGAGGGTGTCTAACCTTATTGCTGGACATTGACCACTGTTGAAATTATCTGTGTGTACTGTTTGACTACTTTTATACTTAACTTTCATCCGTTTAGGATATTGGAACTACACTCATATCTTAACTCTTATCATTATTATATACACGTACAAATTCAAATCATGAAAATTGCGCCGTCAAATAGATTTTTGATAAATATCGCTCACTATCAATTTTATCAAAATCATCGATTCAACTATATGATAGTTTCATTAGTCGTTGCTTAGTGCTTACTGATTAATTGTCAATAATTCATAATTTTATAAGGCATATAGTTAAATTTTATCAAATGACAAGATTTGCAGCCTCATTTCAAGCATTCACAATCAATGAAATGTTTTATCTGACTCACATATCATGAGAAGTTTGATATGTCTACCATATAATATGCTCCGCGAACTCATTATAATTAATTTAGTGTCTCTATGTCCTTGTGTCTCTTTCTTTGTTACAGGTATACCCATAAAAACAAGGACAACACAAATAAAACATTAGATCCCACAGTGAGATTGTGCATTCCAATCCTTGTTACAACACGTCACAAAACGTCAGGGTCCTTACTCCTTCCTCCTTCCTTGTCAAACAATTCTTTGTATTTTTACTGACCGTTTTCATAGCTCAAAAGGTCCTTACTATGGTTCCATTCTCTTGAAGTACACACTATTTCTAAATTAACAACATTTCTGCAGAAATGAGAAATCTCTGAATAATTCCCATAATTAGTAAAACGTGCGGTACTATATAATTAGTGAGAAATCATCTTGGAAGGTACAATAGTTAAGTAGGTACAATAGTAGTATTGTCGAGACAAGCAAGAACAGATCTTATAACTACAAGGTCCCCCCCCCCCCCCAAAAAGAGCCAGAGTCTACCTGGCTCATTGTTAGTTGTAAATTGTAAATTGTATTCATGCGATTTGTACAAGACCTGTTATAAAGGTAAGGTCTAATTGTAATACTATAATTATAATGATAAAAAAACATACCATAGCTTTAGTAATATACGAACTTTGCATTATATAACCTCTCAGTGTTAACAAGGAACTGTTTGTATGGGTAACACGACATCTGTCCGATAGCCACATCTGTCCGACAGCACTATTTTCTTGTGTTTGAAGTGATATCTCAAATTTGGCCATAGAAATTCACTCAAACTTGCAAAAATTATTTGTCTTAAAGCTATCTTTCTATCTAAAAAGTTTCAAGAAAATCGTACGGTAGTATCGGATCCGACATAAACTATTTTCCGAATAACTTATTTTCTGAGTCAGACAGATGTCGCCCAATCGTTTGTTTCTGTCTGGTTCTAATATACCGTTACAATAATGAATTTAATATATATTATAACCTCTTCCTCAGCGGTTTGCTTGAATTATAACTACTACTTAGTGGGAGGCATGTCGCAATGCGGATATATTGGGAGCCATGTCGCAATGCGGTACATCGATCTCTTAAAGCTGAACTGCTCAAGACAGTTTTTAGAGGGAAGCTTCTGTTGAGTTATCTTACAGATCTATAACTTACACCACTGTCTTATCTTACTTTATAATAGTCCAGTCATTTAAGGACATCTACCTGCAAATCTTCAGATACTCTTGAAACTTTCCAAAGGTATGAATAAACGATCTTCAGTTCGAGACATTTTTTTTCCGTGGGGAAAACCCAGGAGGACCACGCCCATATTAACACAATGAGGTAACTGACCCTTTGCTTCTGAAGGTCGTAGAGACTTTAAAATACGCTTAAACGAAGCTGCATATGCATATTTATATAGGACTTATTGTTCAACATATGGATTCAAATCCTTACTTTTCGAGAAATTCGCCAAAAAACCATTTGGGGGGTGGCGCTGAGCCCATTTTACTAACTTTTGATAGGATCCTGGATCATGATACAGTCTTCGGATAGGGTGCAAAAGAAGTAAGAACTGAAGATTTACAGGTAGATGTCAATAAATTTCCATAAATGACTGGACTATTAACCATATTAAGTAAATTATTTCGTGATATTGCGTGATAGTGCGTGATATTGCATGATACTTAAATAGAGGGACACATTTGAGACCATTTGTAGAATCTTCATAAGACTTGAAAGGTATTAAAATTCAAAGGTATCATTTATTCGTTGTAAATAATTAAGCGCACGAATTACTCAAAGACTTGAGTAATGGAATCGATTTTGCAAATTATATCGATTCCATTACGATTATAGTTTGTCAAACTTGACACATGTCCCAAACATGTACCGTAGAAAATCCCCTCTTAATTCCCAGAAATAAGCTCTCTGTTAGGATGTTATATTATATGCGGTTTCTTTTTTACAAAAATATCCCTCACAATATGATCTCACAGCTGCTTCTTTGTATCGTTTTCTAATCCCAGAATACATACACTAAACACATTAACAGTATATTATGTTGTTTTTTGTAGAGGATCAAGTCCTCTATAGCTCAGGGCAGACCATATAATAGTGCTGAAGAGATAGCAAGGCTGTGCTAGCTGAGCGTTATTACACGTGAGCTATTAACGTACTTTCTCTCTGGTATTGTGCAGCTCCGTTATTAAGTGGATCACCACGTCCTCAGTATTGTTGTTAAAAGCTATTAGTAAATTACTTAAGGTCGCAACATGTGTAACACTCTAATTCTAACGGTTTGGCAACGTGTTTTGGTGGATATATTACATATATATATATTATATATAGCTCTGAAACTCTGGTCACGATAGCAAGTGCCTAAAGTGGATATTTCGCTCCAACTTGATATTATACAGACCTACAGACCCTTGGTCCACCGCATGAAAGAACACGAACGATGTTACAGACTCAACAACGCCATCGACGAATCCACAGACAGAATCAAATCAGCCCCTGCACATCATGCCCTGACCACCGGCCACACCATCTCCTGGAACAACATCAAAGTCCTCAAATCCCTCACCTCACGCTCCCAACTTGACCTCACAGAACACGCAGCTATACAAATACGACAACCAGCTATGAACAGAACAGACCGCGCACCCAAATGTAGTTCCCTCTGGGACCCCATTCTTCCTAAAATTGCCAAATCCTTAAAGTCCAGACCATCTGGCATTTCCTTCTCAACCTCAACAGAAGACTAAATTTTTATTGACATTGTACTGTAATTTTCACTTTCCCACCCACACCTCCCCCACCCTCCATGCCTGACACCACTCAATCACATATAAGCATTGTCCACCACATCACATTCAGCTGACGACGATTAACACATGTTTATTGAAAGCTTCTACAAGTTAAATCATCGTATCTCTTATATGTTTTTAACCCAACTCCACTCAGTTTGATATTATACGAATATATCGCAGAAATGGTTTATTTTCGCACTGACAGCCACAGAACTCCCAGCATTTTCAGCAGGTACGTTAATTCTAAGAGTCAGACTCTTAACTTGTGTGTATTTGCATGAGCATCTTGCAGATGGCGCTTTTTCTGATTCTCGCGAGAAATGGTTCTGAACGGCAATGTTGAAAACGGAAACGCCCACGCGAATATTCTTGCTATGAAAATAAATGTAGCTTTAAATATTGTAAGTTAAAAATGTATATTATGAAGCGATGGACTAGTTTAAACCTTATTAAAACTAAGAGCTTCTTTGTTGCCTCATAATATTGCAAACTTGTCACATTAAGCACTAGTTACTCGCAAAGTATTTTATATTCCTTGTGCAACTGCAACATGATCGCAGCACTAACTAAGGTGCTAATTAATACTAAACATTTAGAGTAATAACATCAGCTGTATCCCTCCCCAGAATAGGTTATAAGTTACTTATAAGTAAGACAAAGGACTAACTTAGTTAGTCCTTTGTCTTACTTGATGAATGATTTAATTCGCGGCATCTTAAAAATGAATAAACTCAAAACTTAGAATTCTTACCCGCTGATTTGATCATCTCCAGTCGTTTTTGCTGCTGTAGTCTCATAGATCTGTCAGCTAGGTTTTCTGAAGTAATTCAATAATTTACCTTTTATAATTGTTCACGCCAATTAGGGGCTAGTTTCTCGGTGTATTTAGAGGATCGAGCATACAGTAATTGTATAATTTTATGTCGTCTTGAAATTATTTATTTATTATTTATTTATTTATTTATTTATTTATTTATTTATTTATTTATTCATTCATTCATTCATTCATTCATTCATTCATTCATTCATTCATTCATTCATTCATTCATTCATTCATTCATTCATTCATTCATTCATAATAGGAACGTGATATATGTATCTACATGTTCTGACTACTTATTTATTCTCTAAAAGCTTGACCTATTTATTTATATTCTAAATGTGTCAGAATAAATAAAATTGAAGGAAGAAATAAAAGGAAGAAATAAAAGGAAGAATTGAAATTTTAGATCTCCTTTTTGCATTAGCTTGTGGTTAGTCCTTTAAAGGTTTGATCTTGTAAAATCGGCAATTTTAATTCTCAAAATAACTTTAATTCGAGAATTTTAATGACCTTACAATTATATATATTAATATATATATATTATAACGGCGATTCCTGGAAAATGTTTATTATATTTGCACTCCTGATGGATGGGCCCAGTAGATATGCCTACTGAAGATATAATTACTACTACTACTGGTAGCCAATCTGTTCCTTTCACGTGATGCAGTGTCTAGGTGCTTTATTGCGACGTGTAGCGAATCATGTTTGATTGGTTTCATTTGCACCTACGAAGGTTCTATTTGTCGTATAATACCTTTTTGAGATTTATGTGCTTTATTGCGACGTGTAGCGAATCATGTTTCAATGGTTTCATTTGCACCTACGAAGGTTCTATTTGTCTAAATATAGTATAACTGTTTATCACGAGGACATTAAATCAATATTTGTATGTGCACACAGCTAGATGAAAGTTATCATTTGTTGCTGATTGGACCCTGGTCATTAGGAAAGTTTGCACGAACTTTAGAAGATTGTCACAGGAAGAACTTTTAAGATAAGCATATATGATAAATTTTCACATGTCTATAGTTCAACTAATTAAGTTTCGTTTAATAAAATTTTTGAAGCATTAAGTCGAGGGCAAATCACTCCTACTGAGTCTTATCTAGTGAGTGAGCTAGGAGGTCGCTGAACATATCATTTTAAAGCCGTATAAATTATATACGCATACCAAAAATCAAATGCGGAAAATTCAAAAATCAAAACAGAAATTTCAATTTTTTTGTCAAAAAACGAATTTTTATGGGTGTTTCTAATGACCAGGGTCATTGATTAATTTATGCACCGAGGTTATGGTGCTGTGGTCTGTGGGGTTTGACTCACTTTACAACGCATTCCCATGTGATTTTTTATCTGCAAAGCCAAAAAATCACATTTTCTCCCATAACTTCAAAGGGAAGCATTTTAGGGTGTTTTGTTGTTCATAACTCATATATAAATGTGCTAGTTGCGGTTATTTTGCACCCTTCAAAAAGTCACTCTAGCACATTCCTATCAAAATTTTAGAAAAATCAGTAAATATTAAAAACGAAAAATGTGCCTAAATTTGTTGTTTGGCTTTGAGGTCCAATAGATCAGAAGGTGAATGAGTAAAAACATTTTTGAGGGCATCAAAAACTGCGCCAGAATTCAGAGAACAATTTGATGTCAAGCATCAAATAATCCGATCTTCCCTGACTGACTTTTTGTTAAAATAAGCCTGAAAAGGACAATTTTAGCTTTTTGACTTTAAAAATTCATAACACACCAGCCTTTTTAGATACGATATCAAGATTTTACACACACCTTGACATAGATGTGAATAAACGGCGAGCAAAATTTCAACCCGATACCGCAAGAAATAATTAACTTATAGCGTCTCAACCACAAAATAATATTTTCCGAAAATTGCACTCTTAACCAGGAAATGCTCGATTACAAAAATGGGAATTCTCAAAATAATTTTTTTGGTGTGGAAACGGTGCGCTAGAAGGTCACTGAACTGCCTATGAGGTCATTAGGTCTGGACAGATTTGGGGTATGCCCCCTTAAGGTTGGACTGGAAATATTAAAATTTGTTCAGCAGTTAAAAAAATAATCGTTAGTTATTGTTATTTGGTCATGTATCTAACACTTCCCTTTACGATTGGCTGTATCCCAATTCCCAGTCAACCAGAGTTATCAATAATATTAATTATCGCTACCTGACGATAATATAATAAAGATGTCAAACATGACTCGTGAACTAATTTACTGTTGTCTGTTGTCACGGAATCACAGAGATTGAGAAGTTGTCGTCTCTTGCGCTATATACTATATATGAGCGTGTCTTAAACTCTGGTAACCTGTTGCTATGGTATCTAATAGATTCTTGACTAATAGCTCGTTTCAAAATACTGCTTTCACAGGAGCTTCCTATCTTACGCATTATATTTTTTACTGATAGCTTATATGCGTTTCTGTTACACCCAGTTCGTCCTGCTCTTATCTTGACTCGTATCCCACTTAGAAACCGACCGGTCTGGGGTCTTGGCTGCCGGACCGGAAACGGCCGGATATCAACCGGAACGGAACCGGTTTTGTGGAAACACTAGTCCATCGTGTTCAGCGACACCGATTAAAACATGAAGAATTAAACTTTAAGATTACAACTGAACGACAGTTAAGTTTTTATAAATACTTCGACGTATGCACAGGGTGGGCGAAAAGTCAGCCCAGGTCAAGATTCATGCGAGATGGCGAGACAGGCTCATCGCACAAAATCTTAAAATAAACACAGAAAAAAAAAACTAACAAAAAAATGTGTGAGAAAATAGAAAAAATGTAATTTAAAAGTTTTAAGCGACACAAAAATGTACTTTATACTTTGTAAATTCCGAACTTAGTGTTGTGTGAGATCACGTGGTTAAAGTATAACAACTTTGCCGCGCGCAATTAGTGCGAGATTTTGACGAGTTTAGTATAAATCTCACCCCAATATCGCGAGTCTGACTGCGAGATTTCGGCACCCTCTTTCAGCACTACATATCTGGTCGCGCGCTTACATTTTCATAATACTATTCCTCAACTTGCTGGCCTTTTCGTCTTTATCACCAAGCCGACTTTTCATGGTCATTGAACTTTTGGTATTGATTGTTTTGAATTATTACTGGTTGTGTTACTCTGACGGCTTACTTTTCTGTACTGTCTAAGTCTTAAAGGATACTAGTTGTTGTCGATATTAATCGGTTTATAAGATCAAGATTCACAGTGGTTACTATAGTTACCATGGTTACCATTAAAGGAGGTCCGGTAATGGTCGAAATCTCAAGCAGTGGCGTAACGTTGCCTGTTGGCGCCCCCCTGCCGAAAAAAGCGCCCCCCTGTTGGCGCCCCCTCCCCTTTTGGTGCCCCTCCCTAAAATTGAACAAATTAGGTGATTTTAAAGAATACGCCGGTAAAATCTCTAAAAAAGTGTGTATCTAGAGCAAAACGCGCAGTTTTGCTAGTACTTTAGTTAAGTTTTCGAAATTGTCCCACATTCAAACGACGATTTGGCGCCCCCCTAAGACGGCGCCCCCCTGCACAGCGGGGTCAGCAGGGCCTTTCGTTACGCCACTGATCTCAAGGTACTATTCCTGGCTACAGTCGACTCCATCTTTCTCAGAATATACTTGATACTGCCATAGGCACAGTGGATATTTCTTCATTAAAAGTTTGAAAAAGGGTCTCTTCAACTGTAGACCTGACTTATTAATCCTAGCAGGTAATTAACTCTGGATCCTCATCACATTGATTCCATTCTAAATTCTAGCCAAAAACAAAACAAATATTACCAGATAACTCCGTTCACCATAATTTGATATGTTCCAGTATGAACGAGGCCTTCCCCGGACAAATCCTTAAATGCCAGTTTTCTCTAGCTGAAGTACGAACTGTATAATTTATCAGATAAAGTATATTACAAGGTGCTCTGATGATAATTTTAGTAAAATAATTAATAATTGCCAAAAGAATGACCGTCGACGAGACTCGAACCCGGAATCAGCTGCTTAGCGGCCGTGCCCTAAACTGGGGCGCTACGTGGGGCTTGTCAGATATACAATATGTAACATTATAGCCTTCATAAAAATACACACTCAAATTTTTCGTTATGCATGGATCCAAATTACAGCGGCATACTTACAATTCTGAGATATAAACATCGAGCGACATAAAGCGACATACTTACAATTTCACTTACAAAGGGAAATCTTTTTAAATACAAAGTAATTTGTGGGGCAAGAAATCTTGCAGGCTGGGGGGGGGGGGGGGGATCGCACTTTTAGTCTCAAAATCCAATCTCATCGCACTTTTTTTAGAATCTTGATAGGGGAAAGTCAGTGGACATACGTTGGCCTTAATAGCTCCGCCGTGTTTTATATTTGAGAGCTGTTGCTTTGCAGATGGCATACTTAACTTACTGGCTCGAGGATTCCGTAGTAAAAATTTGAAAATTTGAATATTTTAGACCACGCTCATTCAATATTAAAACAACTATATTGTTTTCTCTGAACATGCTGAACGTCTAATTGCTTTATAGACGGTAGATTATTAAATGTTGCATATGATCTGAAAACATGAGGCAAAACGGATTAGAAATGACGAAGTTATCAAGCATTTTCTGTATTTCGTCTATTAGGTAGACCAATCAACTGATCACACGTAATGAATAAACTCGTTATGCTTCATATCTCGGTCATCTGAGAAGCTACAGTTCTAATCTTTTCAGGACAAACGTAATTCGAATGGCCAAACACAATTCAATAAAATTTAGCTTGATACGACTATCCAAACTATCAAATAAATGCAAAAAATGAACCTTAATTTGAAAAAAATGAACTCGAATATTTTTCGATTTGACAAATTCCTCGAACCAGTGGTGGTAGTACTTGTCATAAAGTCATACCAAAAAGAATTATTTCAATTGGGCACTCAGCGACTGAGCTATTAGGGCCAACGTATGTCCACTGACTTTTGGCCCACCCTGTACTTTCACCACTTAGCGCATACTCAGGGCCGTGCACAGGATTTTTGAAAGAGGTAGGTGAGCAACCGGCGCGAATCGCCGGATCCGAATAGAATGCCGCGAGCGAAGCGAGCTGGGGCAGGGGTCCGGGTCTGGGGGTGCAGCCCCCGGAAAATGTTGTTACTTAATTAGGCGCTAAACCAACAGGATATTATCAATACAGCTTATAACATTCTAATACTTTCCAGAAGGTTCAAGAGTCAAGACAGTTGATAAAACACTCGGTGATATGTAATGTCCGTATTGGAACATTATTTATTTAATTAGTTGCATTGTTTTATGAATCTGGGGAAAAATTTTGAAAATTTGTAGTGTTCCCGTTTGTTGCGACAAATGTAAACTATTTGGTACTAACTACTAGTTCGTGATATCCACATTTCTGATGACCCCTCTAGCTTTTCTGATACTAGTTAATGTTTTGATGTGTTTGATGTCATTCAATCTTTTTACGAACATTTTAAAAAATCATTCCTTACAATTTCATGTTGCTTTACATTGTAAAAATGCTAGGTTCAAATTTCAAAAAGGGGGAGGCGACCACCTGCGTCGCCTCCCCCTGCGCACGCCCATGTGACGGCTGCCAGACTTTGGGGCCGGAGTGATATGATCCACCATATACGTCATCAATAAATTAACATGCAAGCTTGAAGCTTGTGGCGTATAATTATTGATGTGATCCATGGATTGATTATAATTGACCTAGAAATCGGCTAGATCTGGGGTAGAGTTCATATGACAACTCAAAACGCAACCAAAGCAGTACCAGTGTCAGTTGGACAATTCTGGTCAAAGAAATACTTAATCACACTCAAAACATAACTAAAGGTGTCTCCTTTCTTAATAAACTAATGGTAGACATTTGTTTTCTATCACCGAAAGTATGATGCAACTTTGGGGAAATATCTTTGGAGCGACATAGAATGTCCAGTCAGCAATCCAATTGTTGTGTTCTGCGAGGGTGTGAAGGTTCCTGTTGGTAATTTAAGGGATTTGTTCTTCTGGCAACGCCAAGCAGAGGAGAGAACGGTGTCATCATATTTCTTGCTGCTGTAGATATATCCGTCAGAATCAAGCACCTGTTGACATCCTCTGAAACCGTTGAGGAACTTGGAGAAGGTAGGCATGACTGTTGATAGAATGCGATACTACTACCTTCTATCACCCAATATTTATACCTAGAAGACCAGATCGGCTCACTCCCCTTGCATGCCTTTGACACGTACGTCTCACATCCCTTGATACGAGAACCCCCCTTTAGCAAGAGCTCCCGTCCCTTATGTGATCTACGAGTCGAGCAGTCAGATCATGTTTACTTCTTAATGTACAGCTATGATTTACAGAATTGACATGTAAACTCTACCCCAGATCTAGCCCATTTCTATGTCAATTAAATTCAATCCAACGATCACATCACTAATTATACGTCACTAATTAGTGACGTGATTTGACCCCTCTTTGGGGGCCGGATCAGTTTCCGGTCCCAAAGTCTTCCAGCGCATGTGACAGCCTACTTCTATAAATTCTTGCCTTATAAGTTATAATTTCTGGGTTCGTTGACCAGCTTTTAAAGTTTAAACGTGTATGATTATAGTTGTACAATTAAGTAACAGTGCAGCCGTTTCCTATCCCTAATCGTATTCATAACCTTAAATTTAGCTCTAGCCTTCACTTTCACTATAAACCTTATATTATTCTACTTGTGCTCTCAGGCTCTGGAATCAGGACAGTGCCTACCATTACCACCATATATCTTCAGCTGTCACCAATGCATGATTACGTGACTAATTGTATTTATCTTATCCTCGTAAATGTTCCGTTAGTATTAATTTTTAATTGTTGTTATTTACCTGCAGATTTGATCATATCTAGACGCTTCTGTTGCTGGACTCGTTGAGAGCGCCTCTTTTTGCGCTGCAAAATGTCCTGATCCACTCGGAGTGAGGTTATTGGCACTAGACCCTCACTTCCAAACACGTTCCTCACCTGAGGTTATATTAACTAATTAGATAATTAGATGATTAAATAGTGTCTTAGTGCAGTGGTAACTCAAACTCAAAGTGGTACTGGTGACTCTCTATTGTTGTTTAATTGCGATTCCGATCAGCACAATATAAGGGGGGAATGCAACGTCAATTAATGTCAATTAATGTCAATTAATGTCAATTAATGTCAATGTCAGTTTTGCAAAATTTTGGAATACTGACATTAATTGACACGATATTTTTCGACCAGAGATTATGTAGTTCTACCATATTTTTAGCACTTTAGAACGTTTATATCATCAATTTATTCACTACTATCACATATGGAAATGTGAAATGTGAAAAAAATTCAGATCATTAAACAATAAAACTAAAATAATACGGTTTCCCGAAATTTAATTTTCTTAAATGGGCGTGGCCATCCAAGGGCGTGGTTCTCAACATCATTAGAACTTAAAACCCACATTAAGGCCACAGGGGGGGGGGGGGTCCGAGGTCAATTTTGAGATTTTGAGATATGTTGTAGAGCTCGATCTAAATTTTCAAATGCTTTTGTCCTTACCGAAAACAAAGTTTCCTATTTGAAGATATCGCGCGTTGAATTTTGAGGTTTACCTGTAATTCTATTGTAAATGAAAACTTTAAATGCAATTGTGTTCAAAATCTATCTTCTTTTTCAGTTTATGACTTAGAACCTTGTAACTTGGCAACAATGTTCTTAAAGGTATTTTGAGTTTTTGTTATGTAACGATTTATGATATCTTGCTCCAAAGCTGAGATATGAGGTTAACCATGAGTGAGAATTACAAAATTTACAAAATTTAAAATGGTTAACCTCATAAAAAGAGTTAGGAGCAAAATTACAACAATCGTTACATAACAAACTTTGTAATTTATGTCAGGATCATAAGTTCCAAATTTGAGGTGAAATGGATAAAAGCTCTAGGAGAAGATAGGTTTTTGAGGTGGTAAATAAATTGTTCAGGAGAGTCAAAAGACTATGATTCTGAGAAAATATGTTAACCTCAATTTTCCAACAAATAAAGGACATATAATAGTTCTGTTCACATTGGATGGCCAATTGATACCCATTGATAAGTTTAACTTGTGATGAGAGCAACAAAATGTTAAGAACTGGTTATTTGTGAGGTTAACTGATTAAAATGGCAATAGTTAACCTCAATTTTACGACAAACTAGGCGCTCTGGGGGGCTAAAGATGGTGTGCAAGCGTCAGATAGTACGTGGTCTGCCAACTGGCAAAAAACGTTTTTTCGACCTCGGACCCCCCCCTGTGGCCTTAAACGAAATGCCTTCATGACATTTATATTTGAATAATGAATCTTAAACAGCTAACATTACTCCTTCATACTAAAAAAACCGATTCTAGATATTTAACCTGTATTACTTGTACTTACTTGTACTTGAAAAGGTCTCCTCCTAGTCGTTGGAGTGGCCTGCACCACAAAGTAACTCCTTTCTCCGGTGTATTAGACCTCTCCAGTGAACCCTGTCTGTAGCTTGTTGTTCTGCATCTTCTATCGTGATGTTATCGACACCTGTGAAGATTGCTGCATCCTCCCGGACACATGACAACCAGTTTTTCCGAGGTCTACCTCTTGACCTTTTACCATGCTTTGGGATCCAGTGCAGAAGATAGTTGGGTATTCTTTCTTCTGGCATCCTCACCACATGGCCAAACCATCGGAGTCTAGCTGCTCGTACGAAAGTATCTACAGGGGCGATGTTAGCCCGCTTAAGTACATCAGCATTAGATACATGATAAAACCATTTTATTTTCAGGATCCTCCTGAGACATCTATGATGGAACACCTCAAATCTTTTCATCTGCGTCTGTGTGGTATTCCATACCTCACTTCCATAAAGCAGTATAGTGAGAACAGCCGCTTTGTAAATCCTGATTTTAGTTGGAGTCTTGATGTTGCGACTGTACCATATACTGCTGAGCTGATAGAATGCCCCAGAGGCCTTTTGAATTCGAGCTGAAAGTTCTTTGTCAATTGTTCCATTCGCACTGATGATTGCACCCAAGTAAGTGAAATTGCTGACCTGCTGTATTGGGAGACCTTCCACATTGATGTCCATAGTGTCGTCTTTAGAATACGGCCTCTGCGATGCACTTTTGCTGACAACCATGCTCTGTGTCTTGCCAGCATTAATCTTCAGACCCGCATAGGCACTGTATTTGCAGAGAAGGTCAGTGGTTTCCTGCAGCCCCTCTTTTGAGTTATCTAACATAGCCATGTCATCAGCGTAATCAGTGTCCAAAAGATGTTTCTCTTCTACCCCGGGGGCTGGCAGCTGTAATAAAGCCCCTTTGCTAATGACCTTGTTCAGTTCCATAAGGTATGCCGAAAAATTCAAACAAAAGTTGAAGACTGGTGGTCCCTGTATATCACCTTGCCCAGTACCCGAGTTGACATCAAACCAACCTGTAACCTCTCCATTGACCCTAACAGCACTAACTGTGTGAGTGAAGAACGCCTTCATAATTCTAATGTACTTGTCAGGTAAGCCGTAGTGCTGCATACTTCTCCAAATGAACTGCCTGTCAATTGAATCAAAAGCTGCTTTGAAATCAACAAAATTAATATACAGAGGGATATTATACTCAATGCATTGGTGTATAATACAGCGGAGTGAATAAACCTGGTCAATACATAACCTGTATAAGAAACCAATAAAATATGGGCGTGGCCGGTGTGGACCGAAGATGGAAGAGTTGAAAGCTGAAATTTGTTTTGTGGTCTTTGAACCTAAGGATCAACAGATAAGAACATACTCATAATTATTCAAGGACATTTTGTTTTTTTGAACCGGTCTAACTTACAGAGACGTGAATATCTTGAATATTTATCGAATAATGATAATCTCAAATTTCTAGACAAATTAATGTCAATTAATGTCAATTAATGTCAATTAATGTCAATGTCAGTTTGGGGTTTTTATGGAATACTGACATTAATTGACGTTGCATTCCCCCCAATATAACAATGGAAATTCTCCCGATAAACTAAATAATTAATCTAAATTATCACGACAATTTCATGGTATTGCTTGACAGATTCATGTCTCCAGTTCGTTTTCTGAAGTAATCAAATTCTGTTACAATCCTTGCTTTTCAATAAAAATGTATCTTATTTTCCCCCTAGATTGTAGTCATTATGGACCGCAGAAACTTCTCTGAGTAATCAACACGTCAATTTGGATCACGTGAGAAGAGACGAGAAAGAGGAAGTAGAAGGATGGCGGTAACGGAGTTTAAGAGCCTGCTCGGAGATGTGGAGAAGATAGGTCCCCCGATCAGATGGCTAGATAAATCAATAGCAGCGGTCCTGATACTAGCAACAATATTCGGCACAATTGGCAACTCTCTCTCCATTGTATTCTTCACAGCTGAAGCAGTTAGGAACAGAAACAGTTTATACTTTAAGAGAGTGTACCAGGTTATCAACATGGTGGACCTGTTGACTTGTATCTCCTTATTCCCTGTTATCGATGCTTTTATTGAGGACCCCGGCTACCCAGACTTCAGTTCAAAAAGCCCCATATTCTTTGGGAACAGTGTGTTCTGCACAGTGTGGGGGATGCTGTGGGAGATCCTCCCCTCCTTCTCAGTCTACCTAGTAGGGGTGTTGTGCATATCTAGACTTGTGCTCCTCACTTGGAAGCGAGCAATAATGGTACCCTCCATAGTGTACCTCTTCATGGCTACATACCTTCTGATAACCGTCAGTGTAAAGATCTTCCTCCTGATGACGTATGATGACATGGACTACGAGGCCATGTCACGCTACTGTTTCCTGGTGTCACATACTGACGAGTATTTCGCACAGAACGAGATAACCACACTAGCAATCATGATAAGTCAGCTGGCACTGCCCATTATCCCTGTCACTGTCTGCTTTGTAATCACCATGGTCATACTTTTAAAGGACAGAAACAAGATACCAAACACTAATCGAACCTGCCCGCAGCGCCAAGCTGCAATAACCGTCACCATGGTAACATTACTCTACATCTTGTTTAACATCCCGGTAGTGGTTAATTTCTCCTTCTTCCTCTGCCACCTGATCTACACGGAGGGGAAATTGGAGTTCGTTGAGGTGTACTCTAACCAATACTTATTCTACTACGCCTGGCCCTCTGTCTACGTGGTGTGTGTCGCTATTAACGCAGCGCTTAACCCCTGTGTACTCTTCTGGAGGATGAAGAGGTACAGGACATTTGTAGTGAACGTTGTAGAGGGCGAATTTCGCGGCAATCCTCATGTGTTGAGCAAGCCAATTGAACCACGGGAGAGGAAAGTACAAGTTGAGACCCGCTTGTGAATTAACAGATAAAGGATGAAGGGACCTTAGAAAAAGTTTTTTTCTCGTGCAAATCCTTTTATTACATTAATCGTATAAACCACTTTAGTGAAATCCGCAAAGTTGTATTTCATTCGCGCGCCGAGATATCCAGCCAAAACAATTTGAACCTGTGACGTCAATTATGTGAGTTGCTCTGATCCGCGCATATAGAAATACAGGTAAAATGAGCGTGCGGGCCGACTAAATTACTAATTAAGAATAAATTAACAATTTACGATACTAACGAGCCTATAACCAATGGAGAGGAGACTTTTTATGACCGGTTGAAAAAAGAATTATCACCCTACGATAACCATGAGCCGAGATACACCTGGAATAAGATTGAAGTCACACAGAAAGGCATGTAAATTATGTATATTTATAGCTCCCAACGTAACACCTAGCAACTCCCTGTTTCGTACCACAGTTGATATATCAACATGTCATATCAACACAACACGGTCCTAATAAAAATGGATCGGGTAGGTATGAAATGCATGTCTTCATTCCAGTTGGACAAGCACCAAGCACCAAGCTTTTAAGTTCTAACTCACTATGTGACACTACTTATAACGTAAGCAAGATTTGCAACTATTACACCAAGCAATATTATACCAAGCATAGCAGACGAACACATCCACATTCGTTACGCTTTACACTCAAGTCACAGCAAACTAAAACGGTAAATTATAAATGAGTGTACAACTAAAGGCCGGTACATGCGCAGTACGTGCGTACTCAGATAGGACTAGAGGCGCCAAGGGCCAGCTAGTAAAATGTCTTCTACTACATCATACATTCTTTTTAATTGTGTCCATATCGGGTTTCAAACAAGTCAAAACAAAATAGCAGTTTGTGGTTTAGTTAGCGGATGCTACTTATCTTAGCTATTTATAAATAGAAATGCCTACTACAACTACAAAAATGAAGAAAGCCTTTCTGAGTTACATTTAACTATTATTATTAAAGAGAATTATTCGTAACTTAGACTAATTCAGTGCAACCAAAGATACCGCTCTCGCAAACGCCAAAGGTAACACGACGTAATTAAAACAGAACAGGACAAAATGTTGACACGAGCAAAGGGTGCGCGCGCACGTTGGTCTTAACACATAAGTGACGTCACAGCCCAAAATTGCTATCAGCCAATAGGAGCGCGGCGTGATATTGCACGAATTATCGATTTCACAGTCCGGCGTATTTTTGGAGTCTACACACTTTCACAGGACTTAAACGCGAATATTTGGAAGTAAATTCTAAGGTCCCCTCATCCTATAATGAAACTATCTGTTTTTAAACTATGGAAACCTATTGCTATGGCAACCTGCTAAATTATTTCTTTGTAAAACAGTGTGTTTGGTTCAGAATGGTAATACTATCAACCAATAACTATTATTCATTAATGATAAGCAGATAGCTGCTTATCATTACTACTTTGTGTAGCTTTTCAACGAAAGACGGTGTGAAGAATTTTTCCTGCTGTTTTGATGCTGTTTGTACATTTGGCTAATGTTTTTAATCTTTGGATTTTTAATAGGAATAGCGGGAGAAAATCAGTCTTGTTTTGTGCTGAGCTGTTATAAAAATGAATTTCATAATATCTTTGTTGTGATTCAAACTCTGTGATTCAATGTGGAACCGTGAAACAGTGTGAAAGTGCTACCGTCTGACACGGGGAAGTGTTACGGGAAATTAATTAGTATAGTTCATACTTCTTCTTTATCGTAGGAGGCTGTGGTCATCATCACTATTGGATAGAGTATTGAAACCCTGTGCTTACCCCGGTAACATATTAATTAGTGGAGAAAAAAGTACATACTACAGTACGTGTAAAATCCGGATTGGAGTATTGTTTATGAGTATTGTTTATGAGTCGCATGGTTGCAAACTACATAACAAATAATTTGAGATCGTGAATACGATGTTGTAACATTAAAACGTTGAGTAAATTCCTCTTCTGATAAGAGCATTTTTCCTTGTCGCATCAAACGGGATCAATACAATTTTACACAGAATATATACTACAGTACCCCACAATTAATTGGGCACTTATAAAATGTAGTCATGTAATAATTAGTAGTACTAAATATGTGCTACACCCCCCTAATTAGAGATCTCTTATTGCATGTGATAATACAAGGCGTGTACAGTGTACACTCTGTGTAGAGTGTATACACTCTGTGTACAGTGTACACTCTGTGTAGAGTGTATAACTGAGTGTAGGATTACACGCACAGCTGGTGTGGCAGTTTGAGTGCTTGTTACATAAAGGAGTAGTAACTAAAGACCGTTATAAGAGATACACTAGTCCGGCTCTAGTACAGGGACAATGGACATGAAAAGGAGCTACCTAGTACCTACAAGTTACAACACCTTGTACTAGAGACTTGGAGAGACCTTGTACTAGAGACTTGGAGAGACCTTGTACTAAACACTTGGAGAGACCTTGTACTAGAGACTTGGAGAGACCTTGTACTAGACACTTGGAGACCTTGTACTGAACACTTGGAGAGACCTTGTACTAGAGACTTGGAGAGACCTTGTACTAGACACTTGGAGACCTTGTACTAAACACTTGGAGAGACCTTGTACTAGAGACTTGGAGAGACCTTGTACTAGACACTTGGAGACCTTGTACTAAACACTTGGAGACCTTGTACTAAACACTTGGAGAGACCTTGTACTAAACACTTGGAGACCTTGTACTAAACACTTTGAGAGACCTTGTACTAGAGACTTGGAGAGACCTTGTACTAAACACTTGGAGACCTTGTACTAAACACTTGGAGAGACCTTGTACTAGAGACTTGGAGAGACCTTGTACTAAACACTTGGAGAGACCTTGTACTAAACACTTGGAGACCTCATACTAAACACTTGAAGAGACCTTGTACTAGACACTTCAGGAGACCTTGTACTAGAGACTTGGAGAGACCTTGTACTAGACACTTGGAGACCTTGTACTAAACACTTGGAGAGACCTTGTACTAAACACTTGGAGAGACCTTGTACTAGACACTTGTAGAGACCTTGTACTAGAGACTTGGAGAGACCTTGTACTAAACACTTGGAGAGACCTTGTATTAAAGACTTCGGGAGACCTTGTACTAGACACTTCGGGAGACCTTGTACTAGAAACTTCGGGAGACCTTGTACTAGACACTTGGAGAGACCTTGTACTAAACACTTGGAGAGACCTTGTACTAAACACTTCGGGAGACCTTGTACTAGACACTTCGGGAGACCTTGTACTAGACACTTGGGGAGACCTTGTACTAGACACTTCGGGAGACCTTGTACTAGACACTTCGGGAGACCTTGTACTAGACACTTGGGGAGACCTTGTACTAGACACTTGTAGAGACCTTGTACTAGACACTTCGGGAGACCTTGTACTAGAAACTTCGGGAGACCTTGTACTAGACACTTGGAGAGACCTTGTACTAGACACTTCGGGAGACCTTGTACTAGACACTTCGGGAGACCTTGTACTAGACACTTGGAGAGACCTTGTACTAGACACTTGGAGAGACCTTGTACTAGACACTTCGGGAGACCTTGTACTATACACTTCGGGAGACCTTGTACTAGACACTTGGAGAGACCTTGTACTAGACACTTGGGGAGACCTTGTACTAGACACTTGGGGAGACCTTGTACTAGACACTTGGGGAGACCTTGTACTAGACACTTGGAGAGACCTTGTACTAGACACTTGGGGAGACCTTGTACTAGACACTTGGGGAGACCTTGTACTAGACACTTGGGGAGACCTTGTACTAGACACTTGGGGAGACCTTGTACTAGACACTTCGGGAGACCTTGTACTAGAGACTTGTAGAGACCTTGTACTAGACACTTGTAGAGACCTTGTACTAAACACTTGGGGAGACCTTGTACTATACACTTCGGGAGACCTTGTACTAGACACTTCGGGAGACCTTGTACTAGACACTTCGGGAGACCTTGTACTAGACACTTGTAGAGACCTTGTACTAGACACTTGTAGAGACCTTGTACTAAACACTTGGGGATACCTTGTACTAAACACTTGGGGAGACCTTGTACGAGCCACTTCGGGAGACCTTGTAGAGACCTTGTACTAGACAATGGTAAGATTTTTAAAGCACCACAAATTTAAGCAAACTCGCTTTATCAGATACCACTTCACAAACGTTCAACAAAAGTTATATCAGATTATAATGTTATAATGATTAAATACCTGCCAGAATCCAGACGGACAGTTTGACATTCTCAGGACATATATCACATCCCCTTCTTTAACAGACAGCCCCTTCTCATCTGGAAAAATAGCATTAGTTCACTAGTTCAGGAAGATTCAGTGACAATATTACATATCATCAATAATATTGAGAGCAGAAAGGGAGTGTCCTGAGAAACTAATCATAATTGTTAATCAAAGTCTGTACAGATGAACAACTAAAGACTACAATGATTTACCTTGATGTTCAGGTGGCATAGTGCCTGAGAACAGATTAAGTGCAGTACACACACAAATGTAATCCTGCTCATCTTCATTAACGATCACAGTTCCTCCTTTCTGAAAGGAAAAGAATATAATTATTTTCTATACAACTTCTATTTGCTATAAACATTTCAATTAAGGAATCTAAGAAATTTTGCGAAGTGTTATTGATAATCAAATTGATTTGAATCATACAAACTCAGGTATTTTTGGTGACATCAGCAAAGCCTAGAACTTTCCCTAACCAAGCTTTCCCTAACCAAGCTATTAACCAAGCAGTTAACAAGTTAAAAACTCTCAGCATATTATAACAGCTCCCCAAATGCAATACTGAATAGGGGGTGATGCAACGTCAATTAATGTCAATTAATGTCAATTAATGTCAATTAATGTCAATTAATGTCAATTAATGTCAATGTCAGTTTTGCAAAATTTTGGAATACTGACATTAATTGACACGATATTTTTCGACCAGAGATTATGTAGTTCTACCATATTTTTAGCACTTTAGAACGTTTATATCATCAATTTATTCACTACTATCACATATGGAAATGTGAAATGTGAAAAAAATTCAGATCATTAAACAATAAAACTAAAATAATACGGTTTCCCGAAATTTAATTTTCTTAAATGGGCGTGGCCATCCAAGGGCGTGGTTCTCAACATCATCAGAACTTAAAACCCACATTAAACGAAATGCCTTCATGACATTTATATTTGAATAACGAATCTTAAACAGCTAACATTACTCCTTCATACTAAAAAAGCCGATTTTAGATATTTTACCTGTATAAGAAACCAATAAAATATGGGCGTGGCCGGTGGGGACCGAAGATGGAAGAGTTGGAAGCTGAAATTTTTTTTGGTGGTCTTTGAACCTAAAGATCAACAGATAAGAACATACTCATAATTATTCAAGGACATTTTGTTTTTTTGAACCAGTCTAACTTACATAGACGTGAATATCTTGAATATTTATCGAATAATGATAATCTCAAATTTCAAGACATATTAATGTCAATTAATGTCAATTAATGTCAATTAATGTCAATTAATGTCAATTAATGTCAATTAATGTCAATTAATGTCAATTAATGTCAATGTCAGTTTGGGGTTTTTATGGAATACTGACATTAATTGACGTTGCATTCCCCCCACTGAATATTAACGCAGCGATACCATTCCCAATAAAACCAAAAATCGAATAACCACATATTCTGCATAACTATATCTGTTATCATGTGAAATTTTATAAAAGTCGTAGCTCGTTAATTTTGGAGACATCGAATAACCACATATTCTGCATAACTATTATATCTGACAAGTATTTAGTATAATTAATATTGAGTTTACCAAGAACCAGGGTGTGGAAACTGACCAGCACAGTAGCGGAGGGTTGCGGGTATTTAGGGTTATTTTCTATCGTCCTATCAATGTCAAATATCTTCAAATCATCCACACTTGGCTCCCAAAACCAAAGGAACGGATCACTCTGAAAGACGTACTTTGTAACATAGTTATGGAATAGTAACAAAAAACAACAATGGTAGAAGATTGTTGGTGATCATTTCCATTTTTGCCCCACATTTATTGGTGAAGATAAATAAAATGTAAACCTAAAACTTGTAACTTCCAACTAGTTTAAAATGTTCCAATCGCAATGATAGACTACAAATAAATAACAGATTTATTTTAACAAATAACAGATTGATTATAGATAAATAAAAGATTTGTTACGTATGTGAATATTATAAAGGAAATGAGGAGAGTATAATACCCAGGTAAAATGATTCTGCCGTTTTCTGACTTCAGTGCTTTTAAGAAGTGTTAAAGACCATTAAAAAATCCAAAGTTTTCAAGTACTTTAAATGACACATATTTGACAAATCTTGGCATTTTAGAAGGTTCCAAAAGGGGATCTTTGGGAGCCTGCAATTGATTCTTTAATGGTTTCTGATAGTTTTCAGGGAAAGTTCTTGACCCAAAAAGGAAATTTGCGTTAAAGAATTCAGAATTTTAAAAGGTCTTTAAGCACATTTACCAGAAAACGGCAGAATTGCTTATAATATAACGTTACCTGCTGCATGAAAGTGGGAATACTGAGAAGCGAATCAACAAAGTGCTTTATATGAGGAAGGTGCTTCAGAGCAAAGCTTTCTGTAGTTGAGCGCTCGAATATTTGGCGACCTATAGTGAAAAGAAGTGCTGAAATCTAGTTCAAATCACAAAATAAACATTTAAAGGTTAAAGAGAATTCATTTCGCATCTTTAGTTCAGCCACCGAGCAGACATTCTATCAGCAGAAAGAGCCAACACAACAGCAAAGTATTTTGTAGACATCCATTTTAGCAGCTCAGGATTGCAATATCCAACTGAATGTGACTTTTAAAGAAGGCGAGCATTCCAAGCTCACTCACCAAGTTCATGTTTTCCTCCCCTGGCGAACTCCCCAGGAAACACTTTCCACTTAACTTGTGCTCGCTCTACGGAGCACAATACCCAATTATAATATCTAGACAAGCTATGAATACCTCACATAGCTTAAATGCTGTGCATTAAAACCCAAAAATTAATTATTCAGTAGACAATAGAAATATTTGCTCACCAGGAAGTTTAACCATGCCACCGTCTTTAGTGATAGCAGTTAACGAACAGTAAAGCTCGTACAACTGATCATAGGACCTGCAATAAAATACAGTTACTCATTATTTTATACTTTTATCCGAGCAGACATGTAAACTTTCTATTTCTCTATCATCTTCGCAATGATTACTGAGTCAGACACTAAGTTACTACAATACTGAGTCTAATGTAAAACTAACCTGTAAACTCTACGAGTGGAACTATCAGTCCACGTGACATCTATCTGATAAGCAAACTGCTTCTTAGGTTTGTGCACTTTCTTCAGATCTTCTATCAACTCCAACTCAATAATTTGCCCATATGATCGGGTGGGTACTTTACCCCCTGTCTTTGGCATTTCTAAAATATCAGTCAAGTGTTAAGACATACCATTAAATACGTGTTAGAGATGCAGGTGACAGGTGAGCCTAGTTTCAAACAAGCTAGCAAACGGAAATAGCTTTTAATTTGCCACTACCTTCATTAAATCTGACAGCTCAATCTAGGTTCTAACATATAAACTATCATGTTATATATAGATTTTGGCGCTGACGGAGATCAATCTGACAGATAGTTTTAAAATAACGCCGTACGGACGATAACCGGCGAGAAAAACAATCTAGCAAAACATGTCGCTGACAAACATGACAGGTATTTAAAATAGGAGCTCGATCAATCTCAATTTCTAACGGCATCATGTCATCTAGTAGACGCTACTTCAGTGCAGGATGAATGTAATATTCAGATCAGAAATTTGTGGTTTATTGCATCAAAACTGTCTTTTAACCTTAAGATTCAGCTTGTTCATGCTCTAGTACTCCCTAGAATTGATTATTGCAATAGCGTATATTTTGGACTGAGCTCTTATGATTTAAGTCGTTTACAGAAGGTGCAAAATTCTGCTGTAAGATTTATTTTCGGGAGAGGAAGAAAGGCACACACTACTCCACTACTTAAGAAAGTTCATTTTCTACCAGTTAGATTTAGAATAGATTTTAAGATTGCCCTACTTGCCTACAAGTGTTTAAATAATATAGCTCCTCCTTACTTAAAAGAGTTGATATTTCCTAGGCAGCAAAGTTTTAAAAATGTACGTCTTGATAATGATTATTTTTACCTTAGTTTTCCGCCCTCTCCTAACTATGTAAACACAGAGAAAGCTTTTAGTCACTGTGCAGTTAAAGTATTTAATTCCTTGCCATACGACATAAGATCAGCTGAGTCAGTTACATCTTTCAAGACCAAACTTAAAACATACTTCTTTTCTCTAGCATTTGATTGATTTTGCATTTACATAGGTAAAATGAACTTGTCTTGTCTAATTTTCAATTAAACTAAGCTCAGTTAATGTAAGAGCCGCTTTAGAAAGCACTGGAGTTTATCTCCAGGATTAAATTATATCGAGTTATATGATTTAGCTATAAGGCGGTTTATAAATGTTGTAATTATAATTATTATATTATCAGCACGTGTCATCTCGTGTCTTAGGTGACAAGAGGAACATCAAAGCAGACAAGCCAGACGCGATCGACCTCATTCCAGGGATAAACGAACAACAAAACAGTTTTTAACCAAATGGATGTAACGTGCTCGATCAGTTCAGTGACTCACAAAACTAATTTAACCATTGAACATGATACGAGTAAATATATTCCAGATTCAAAAGTGCCGCGTACATTGAACAACTTATTAGCGCTCGATTTGATATCAATTTTGATAATCTTATTTTAAATATTAGTTGCGCGCCACACAAAAAACGTACCCTTTGGTTTAATTTATGTGCAATATGCGTTGTACTATTTTTGACATAATGATAAAACGATGAAATTAAACTGATCAGTTTTTGTGTGTTAAAGTATAATCATTTGAAATAAATTTGAATAGCCAACATTTAATTTACATAATAATTGACAAAAACGCGCGATACGTATAAAATAAATGTATAACTTGTTTAATTTTAAACTTTGCTATATTAAATTAACATAAAACCCCAAATTTAAGCGGGAAATCTTATAGAATCATTTAAAAATTTAATCATGCCATGGCCGCGCCCATGCTATTGTATTTTAATGAAAAATAAAATAACATAACGGTTACTTCACCTAACCATGTGCTTTCGCGCCACTGCGGGCGCGCTTGTTTCACAAGTAAGGCGGGCGCGCGCTACTGCAAGCGCAAGGGCTCTGAATAGAGCAGTAAATGTTTTTTTCTCAAAGTGTGGGTATGTCGCTTTTCAAAACTATGGTTATGCACACAAATTTGATCCTTGTAGCGCGATGCACTACTGGGTCGCGCGCGCATCAAATAATGCTTCTCGCAACAACTTCGGTAGATCGGCGAGATGCACCACTGTCAACTGTGCCTCACCGAGCTGCGAAGGATTGACATCGTGGATCAAATTTGATCCTAAATATTGCAAAAAGGTAGGTGCGTGCGCGGGTTTACATAAATAATCAATACTGTCTGGAGTTGTCATACGTTGTATGACCCGCCGCGCACGAAGTGCGCGGCTCCCCCTGTATCGTCAGGACGATAAAGGGGCACAATTGGGAAAATGGGTGATTTATATTTCTTTTATTCCTTGTATTCCTTGTATATGTTTTTGCAGACACAAAAAATGTTCGACTCAAACCTTCTAAAATGGTTATACTTTTACTCAAATTGAGTCGGTATATAGTATGTGGTTCATTTATTGCCGGTGGATCGGTCTTTCTATACAGTTCTATATCTGGTTTCATGGTACACCGTAGTTACTAACTGAAAGTGATGAATCTAGGAATGAAGTTCCGAGCCAATTTCGCCATTAAAAGTTTGAAAAAGTGACCTCTTCAACTGTAGAACTGACTTATTAATCCTAGCAGGTAATTAACTCTGGATCCTCATCAAATTGATTCCATTCTAAATTCTAACCATAAACAACAAAAAACCATTAACAGATAACTCCGTTTACCATTTGACATGTTCCAAGAAAACAACAATTTCAAGAAAACAACAATTTTATTTAGTATCAGTTAAAGCAGACAAAAACATATTTTATAAATATAACTAGTGCAAACTTTAGACCATATATATTAGGGGACTTGGAGTAGCAAGAGAGTGACCAGAAAGTATATGTATACTTTTACCAAAAATACGTCGAAATGAATCCAGGGTGATACAGGATCTAGGAGTGCAGACCATAAAGTTTACGCACCCACCCTTGCCTCCTGAATTCTTGGTTGGAAAGACAATTATGCAAAATTGGTCGTTTATACTCCAAGTCCCTTTGTTAATAGAAGTAGTATTATTTATGTCTGGAGTTAGCTTCATTCAGTAATAACAATATCAATATAATCAATATTAATATCAATATCAGACTAAACTATCAAATAAATAAATTATCAAATATCAATTATTAATTCACTCTGATTAAAAAGTTATAAATTAGGATATCTAATATTTAAGAATTACAACTACAAGTTGTTAAAAACGCCCAAAATAGATCTGAGATATTTTCAGTCTGTAGTACAATAGTGATAGCAATAGTTTAAATTATGTTATGTGCCGCTGCAATTAGATTAAATTACTGTAACTTAAAATTGTTTGGAGTCCAAGTCTCTTTTAAGTCAGCAGCCTGTGATTGTATTAATAGTGCTTTCGTTCTCAATTTTATCAAGTTAATGGAAGTTTCTAGACAATTACTTGAAGTTAAAATTTTTTTATGAACAGTGTTCCAAAGCTTGGCTGCATTAAACAAAAAGGTATTTGATTTATTTAGAAGAATAACTGTTAGACTCGTTGCACGGTTTGAAATGTTGATAGCCTCATAAAGGGAGTATGGGCAGTGGTACTTGATAATCTTAGAGAATTCTAAAATACAGTGATATTTGTACAAGTTTTGAGCCGTAAGAATTTTTAACCTATTAAAAATGGGTTTCGTATGCTCCTTTTCAAAATGTTTATGGCCTAGTATTTGCATGCCATATGGTCTAGTTCTTGCACATGTTGATTGTTTATCTAGATATGAGTCGAGATCACCAAAAAGGATTCTTATACAGTGCTTCTGTGTGATAAAAAGACTATCATTTGACCGTTCTTTGAGGACAACTCCCCAAACACTTATACCATAGCTTAGATGTGATTCAAATAGAGCATTATATATTTTTAAATATAGTTCAGCAGGTATCGGGTGCCGAATTCTACAGATTGCACCAGTCATGGACCTCAGTTTTTTACGGATGTAGTGCATGTGGGCAGACCAGTTTAGCTTACTATCTATAACAACACCTAAGAATTTGGTATCCTTGACTTTAGTGATAACCTTACCATTGATGAATATTGATCTAGATTCATCTAGCAGGGTACCAAATGGTCTAGTCCGTGCACAAGTGTCATCATATTCAGAGGCAGGTTTAAAATGGATGTAGCAGCATTTTGACATGTTGATATGAAGTAGATTACATTTCATATAAATCGAGACATGTTTAAGCACTAAGTTGGCTTTTTTGTATGTTGCTTCTCTAGACGGTCCTGATATGAAGATATTAGTGTCATCAGCATAAAGTACAAATTTCACTTCACTGTCTGAAAAACAGTTTACTATATCGTTCATATACAGTAGGAAGAGTAATGGCCCTAGAATTGACCCTTGAGGAACCCCGAATTCCACATCCATTGTTTCTGATGGTACATCGTTATACATCACATACTGCTTTCTGTTAGTCAAGTAGCTTTTTAGTAAAGTTAGTGCTGTGCCCCTAATACCATAGGAATTTAGCTTGCTTAGAAGAATATTATGATCAAGGGTGTCAAAGGCTTTGCTCAAGTCAATGAATATGCCTAGGACATGTTTATTCCTAGCCAGGGACTTTGTAACAGAGTCTATAGATTTGTGTAGAGCATGGGCGGTAGAATGGCCTTTTCTAAATCCAAACTGCGAGTCTGTTAGTACACCTTTAGATGTGAAGAAATTATAGAGCCGTTTGTAAATGACCTTCTCGAAAATTTTTCCAAATAAAGGTAATATTGATACAGGCCGATAATTTTCAATACATTCCTTATTGTCTTTCTTGTAAATAGGAATAACTTTACCAGTTTTAAAAATACTTGGGAATGTTCCACTTTGTATACATATGTTGTAAAGCCTAGCCAAGGTACCAGCGATGAGCTTTGCCGATTTTTTTACAACGATTATAGGAATGTCACTTGCCTTGCCATTTTGAAAATCTCTGATGACCTCGATAATCTCATTTTCATTAGTTTCTTCTAGGTATATGGAGTCAGACACTGAGTTAGACATGAATTGAGCAAATGATTCTACTGGTTCCAGAGAAATACTATTGTTCGACAATACATTTCTATTGAGATTGCTTGCAAGAGATGTAAAGTATTCACAAAATTTGTTAGCAATTATTCGTCTGCAAGTAATTCTCTGGCCATCTATGACAAAATCGTCCTTACATCTAGACATATTCTTACCACGGAGTTCATTGATAACTTCCCAGGTCTTTTTTGAGTTCATGCTGTACTTCTCGAATTTTCTAGTATAGCACATAGCTTTTGCCATATTTATTGAGTTTTTGAGAAACTTGTTGAATTCCTTGTAGCAGATGTGCTTGTTTTGATCCCCGTCAGGTAGTTTTAATGTACAAGTCTTCTTCCATTCGAAATACAACCTAGCTTTCTTGTCTATGGAATTAAGTGTGAACGAGGCCTTCTCCGGACAAATTCTTGAAGGCAAGTCTTCTCTAGCTGAAGTCCGAACAGTATTGATTCACGATGTCAATCCTTCGCAGCTCGGTGAGGCAGTGGTGCATCTCGCCGATCTACCGTGGTTGCGAGAAGAATTATTTGATGCGCGGCGCGACCCAGTAGTGCATCGCGCTACAAGAACAGTATAATTTATCTGATAGTGTATTACTAAGGTGCTCTGCTGATAATTGTAGTAAAGTAATCAATACATGCTAAAAAAATGACCTCTGACGAGGTTCGAACCGGGATGAGCTCAATAACATAAGCCGCCTTAGCCACTGTGCTACTAGAGGCTCAGCAGATTTACAATATGTAACGCTATAATCTATATAAAAATACGCGCACGCAAGTAACTTTTCGTTATTTATGGATCCGAATAAAAGCGACATACCCACAATTCTGAGAAATAAACCTTGCGTGACATAAAGCGACATAATCGCAATTTCGCCCACACATTTGCTAGAACACCTCCTCGGATAGAGCAAAACGGTTACCAGTATTTTATTTGTTGCATTCTCTTTGAAAAGTAATTAAAATATATATTTAAAACCCATGAAGTCTGAAAGAAGTCAATGCAGAAATATAAATTGTCTTTTAACCCTATGTCATAGGGATGTTTTGAAATTTACTTCATGGGCCTGGCACGCACGCATACAATGCCAAATACGCGGCGCTTTTTTCAAGCTTCTCGCATTCGAAATTGAATCCGCTCTAGCTAAATTGTTTGCCCAAATGTTTTAATTTTTTAGCGCGATGCACAAATGCATGAATGGGATGTGCCGTGCATCAAGTAATGCTTTTCGCAACTGACAACTACTTTTGTTGGTCATTGGTTCATAATAAAATATTTTGCTCAGCTCAAAATTATCGCCAACCTTAATTTCAGTTAAGTCTTACCTAGATTGCTAGTCTATTGCTTGCTCCTCTCACGTAATTCGAGAAGCTCAAAAAGAGCGCCGCGTGCATTAAGGAAAACAAAATCCCCTTGCATTCGCTCCCTGCAAACCTCTCACCGACAAAAGTATCCATTTTGTATCGTAGACTCCAAAATATGCGTACGTAGTACGGGAGGGTATTCTTACAAGATTCAAAATCTTTTCACCCCATCATTACTGTTTCCTGATTGTTCGGCTGAGTCAAACATGGTCGCCCCAAGCTTCCCCCCCCCCAAACTGCCGATGTCTATTCTTCGATGACTGCATACAATACCATTACCATAGCAGAGCCCAGCTCAAGATTTATGCGAGATTGCGAGCCGGACTCATCGCACAAAATTTGTAAATAAATGAGGAAACAGAAAAAGTTTAACTTAAAAGTTGAGGTAATTAGGAACTTAACATGTATTTTATACTCTTAACGTGTATTTTATCACTTGTTTATAGCGTGAAAACTTCGACGTAACGCGCGGGAGATTTTTGCCAGATTTTTGCGAGTTTCGTTTAAATCTCATAGCTAGGCTCACGATATCGTGAGATTCTCCGCGAGATTTCGGCACCCTCTTTCAGCACTACATATTCGGTCGCGCGCTTGCATTTTCATCGCTTTTCAGCGTGTTTATTCACTGCACTGTCTAAGTCTTAAAGGATACTAGTTGTTATAAGATCAAGATTCACAGTGGTTACTATAGTTACCATGGTTACCATTAAAGGAGGTACTATTCCTGGCTACAGTCTACTCAATCTTTCTCAGAATATACTTGATACTGCCATAGGCATAGTGAATTAAAAGTTTGAGAAAGGGTCTCTTCAACTGGAGAACTGACTTATTAATCCTAGCAGGTAATTAACTCTGGATCCTCATCACATTGATTCCATTCTAAATTCTAGCCATAAACAAAACAAACATTACCAGATAACTCCGTTTACAATAATTTGACATGTTCCAGTGTGAACGAGGCCTTCCCCGGACAAATCCTTAAATGCCAGTCTTCTCTTGATCTTAGTTCTCTAGATGAAGTACGAACAGTATAATCTATCGGATAACGTATATAACAAGGTGCTCTGATGATAATTTTAGTAAAATAATTAATAATTGCCAAAAGAATGACCGCTGAAGAGACTCGAACCCGAGTCAACTGCTTGGCGAGCGCGCCCTAAACCATCGGGCTACGTGAGGCTTACCATAATTACAATATGTAACATAATATAATTCATAAAAATACGCACGTAAATTTTTCGTTATTTATGGATCCAATTACAGTGACATACTTTTCGCTTACAAAGGGACTCGCGAAATCTTTTTAAATAGAAAATAATTAGTGGGGCAAGAAATCTTGCAGGCTGGAGGGGGGGGGGGGGGGGGGGGTGGGGAGTACATTTCGCCACTGCACGTGACACATGAAAATCGCACTTCTACTGTCAAAATCCAATCTCATCGCACTTTTTTTAGAATCTTGATAGGGGTAGCAGAGAGTTAATTAATTAATTAAATTATTCCAACGTACATTACAGTTACACACAGGCCTAGGGCCTCGTGTATGTAATGTGTCACAGGCGACAGCAAACAAAAACAAAAACTTATAACATGGGTGAAACAGGACACCACACGTGTAAGATCTCAGCCGCGCTGTATCATAGCAGTCAATAGTTCAAATTGCAAGGTGTCCTGGAAGACCAAATCATATAAATTACCTGTAGTGGATGCGCTTGATGTGCTTTGTACCGTTTACAATTAACTATGTGTTAAAACTGCGCGGCTTAGTTTTCCAAACGAGGATTGGACACCCTACAACACAAAATTTCACAAAGATCATGTGTGTGCTTACATTCGAACGTTTGAGTGAATAAAGAGCTTTATGTTGCGGTTAGGTATTTCCGAATACTATTACTAATCACTATTTCTATTTACAAGCACCAGCCATCAGATAATAATTTTAGGGCGTCCACAGACGCCTGAACACCCTCAATAGCTGCCATTGGAACCATTATTGATGGTTAAATGAGGAGGGGTCCTGCCAAAAGGTCAATAATCTTCTTAGGATACCCTTTAGCAGGAGGTGACCGGGATTCCCGGTACCGGGAATCCCGGTACCGGGATTGGCAATTTTGAGCTATCCCGGTCCCGGTCCCGGTCCCGGTAAACCGGGTCAAGTCACATTTTTCATCCCGGTTGCGGTCCCGGTCCCGGTCAAATGCTGATTTATGATCCCGGTCCCGGTCCCGGACCCGGTTAATTCAGGATTCTTGGTCCCGGTCCTGGTCCCGGTCAATCACTCAAATTTGCTGGGATTTTGACCGGGATCTTTTACATAATTTCATTCACTGTGATTTTAAGTTTTTACTTTCATTCATTGTGAATTTCATCTTTAAACAACCTCTGAGCCAAATAAAACAATGTTTAAAATTGCTAAACAAGTTTAGGTAACTAATATCGTTACATAACTCATAAGTGCAAACTAACATCAAGTTTTCAACTCGGGCTACGCCCAATTGTCAATTGGAATTGGAGAATGAAACTGTTGAATAATTTGAGGGATCATTGATTGAGGAATGAGGAATGATGGTGAACATTATTGGTGTAGTACATTAGGCACATGCCCCATATTGACGGGTTTTTTCTATTTTTTTCTAATTTAATATTCTAGTTATTACTTATTCAAATTGTTCAATTATAATGTAAATGAAAGTTGCAGCTTTCAATATGAGAATACCAGTTTTGGTCCCGGTCATCCCGGTCATCCCGGTCAAATCCCGGTCATTCCGGTCATCCCGGTCAAATCCCGGTCATCCCGGTCATCCCGGTCATCCCGGTAAAATTGGATTGTTGGTCCCGGTCCCGGTAAGATAGAAATCCCAGAAATTATTGGTCCCGGTCCACAGTGGGCCACCAGGCTATATTAGGTCCAAAAATGAGTTAGTCAGTTTAGGATGTATTTTAAATAATTTGATAGGAAAATAATTTCCCTACAGAATGTAAAAAACCGAAATTAAAAATTCCATATGGTTTAACCGCTACACGGCTGCGAAATTTGCGATTTTTCAAAAATTGATTTTGTTTCTTTTTGGCAGTGAAAAATAGCTCTTACTCAATGTCTGTTCCTTAAATAAGATTATATAAAGTAAATTGACTCCTTTTATATCTCCAAACAACTCTCAAACCTTAATTTATTGGAAAAAACCTTAATAGGCTATCTAATTTAGCTGATTTTTGACATGGGCCTGAATTTTTGCCCCATTTTTAGGCAAATTTTTGGCCTTCCAGCACAAAAATAGTTAAATTGCCGGCCTTTGCCGCCATATTCCTTGGTACCATTTGAAAGCTTAGAGGATTCCCTACAACATATAAAAAAATTGTGGGGGGCATCCGTGGGCATTTTTTTAAATGCCGATTTTTTACCAATTTATTGGCTAAAACTATGTTATTTGGGGCTTGTGCCCAAATATGGGCATACAAATTTTTGTTATAACTCGGCCATCTTTTGTTCAATCTTGATGAAATTTTAAATACAAGTCCTGGAAGCGTTCAGCTACAAGTGAAGCATCTCAAAACTGGTTTTGTGGCTTATGTAAGGAATTTTGAATTTTTGGGAATTTTGGGGCTAAAAATTCAAGGAGTATAATTCAAAATTCCCCAATTTTCTCAGTTTAAGTGTTAAGTAGGGTCTTGAAATTGGTTTAGATCGTTTTTTTGGGCCAAAGCAGTCTATAGAACACCTTTCAGACATATTTGGATGGTACTAACATGTCTAATATAGCCTGCCCCCCTATTCTGGCCCACTGTGCGGTCCCGGTCCCGGTCACGGTAAATTGATAATCTCAGTCCCGGTCCCGGTCCCGGTCAAGTCACATTTTGTATCCCGGTCCCGGTCCCGGTCCCGGTCAGGCCTAAAATCATGTCCCGGTCACCACTGCCCCCAAAAGTACCCCAAATATTTTTTTACGCATTGATGAATGCTCCCCTAAGGCGGACTGTATACACTATACATAGTACTATATTACTTGTTGATTAATAATTAACACCCATACATAGTGTTCTTGTAAAATCACACTCAATGGAAATGTGGCTTGGATTCTTGATTCTTGATTGGTAACAACTGTTTCTTAAAACATAGCCTGTCGTACAACACGTTGCTGGATAACAAAGACTGTATATCCCCAAATGTGTCTTGTAGCTCAAATTTTAGGCTACTGCACTAAATGAAAGTCTTAACTAGTATGTTGTTGATAGTTCGATTGATAATAGATCATAACTTAAAACTGTCCTATGCTATGCATATTTTCAAATCACATTGACGTTCAACCCATTAGGTCACCTATGCATGAATATCTCTGAAAAAACTTATCTACAATATTCTCATTAGCAGGCTCAAAAATGGCATCAGCTACTAATGAAACTAGTTCATTAGATACAGATTTGCAGAGGATTAGGTTGGAAGAGAGGCATCTGCAAAAATTTAAAGCAGAGAAGATAGCTGAAAAGTGGCGTCAACAGGACAAATATATCGATTTCTTAGAGGATAAGTTAGATCAACTGAAGGACCAATCTAAATCAAAGTTAGATTCGCAGAATCAAGATTCAACCAGAAGAGAAAATATTTTGATTATGAGACTTGCAAGCAAAGAACAGGAGGCCCAAGATATGATAAACCAAATTCAGGTAATGCTCTATAGTCTCAAAATGTATCTATATTATAAAAGAAGTCTTCAAAGTTCATGAAATAATTACAAGATGTCATGTATGTTCTTATATATTTATTTAGATTTCATCTGCATTTGGTTGCTATTTTTGAAACATTTAACAACAAAACTTATCTACTCAATCTACAATTTTTAATCAAATGCAAATTTCAGGAACTGAAATGTTCTCTGGCTCCTTCAACAAGTAACTTGCGGACAACCCTATTGGATCCTTGTGTAAATTTGCTTTTCCAGAAGATGCAATCTCAAATAAAGGAACTCCAGGGTAAGCTAGCAAAAGCAGAAGAAGAACTCAATGCATGGTCTTTTACTGCTGACAGTGTGACAGGAAAGGTTAGTTCTTATCTATTTATTCATACTATTTTTCGACTATGGTCATCATGAAAATAGAGAAACAAAATATCATCCTACTCATATTATTCTTATGTATGTTCTGATTTGGCAACCAAAGCCAGATGTTTATAGTATCATTCTTGGTAAATGGTAAGTCTCTCATTGAATCTAAAGTTTTTCCTAACTAGTTTTTTATTTCAGAAACTGATGGGGAAATGCAGAATGTTGATTGACGAGAACGAAGAGTTGGGACGTCAGTTATCACAGGGTCGTGTAGCTCAGCTTCAAGCTGAACTGTCTCTGCAAAAGAGTGCAAATGAAGAAATGCAGAAGAATTTGGATGAAATGACTGGATTTGTTCTTCAGCTAGATGAGGAAGTGAGTCTTAATATGTGGATATTTTAGTTAACTCACAGAAAAAGTGTTTTTATTTCAAGATTTGTACCATTTCATAGTTTTGTGCTCTTATTGAATTTTTACACTACAATTTGCATTATACATTTTAATGTTACATTTTCACAGGTCGAAGGCATGCAGGCAACTATATTGCATCTACAACAGCAACTTAAATACACACAAGACAAGTTGAAGACAGCAAATGAAAAGCTAGAAAAAAATTCTGAGGTGAATTTTCAAATTTACTTTTAATTATTTTTGTTTTAGGCTTTTCCATTTATGGGTCCATGTAATTGCGGTCATCGCTTGCGATGAGCTTCCGTGTTTGGTTGCCCATCAAATTTTACAGATGGTGTATCATCAGTTCGTATTATTAAATTTAATTTCTCCATTTCTGTAATCAGTAAAATTTGAAAAGTATTTAATAAAAAAAAGTATGTTTACGTGAAACAGTTTATTGCAATTAATAGTGGCTGGCTGAAGTTTTCAAATGATCTATGTTGCATAAATTTCGGCCTCAAAAAACCGCTCTCCTTCTTTTACCTCTCGTCATTTTAATTGTTGAAAATAACTAGCTTGTTTTAGGATAAAAGAAGGGATGAAGCAGAATCGTCATCTAAAATCAAATCAGAAAAGTACGACGATGATGAGAAGGTAAGGATTAGATAAAACGTTAAAAGTCCAGTTTTGTTTTTATATTAGTTCTGTAACCTGGTCCTTTCATTTTAGCCTACTTATTACTTACATATTTTATCAATGCCCAACTTTTATTATAACTGCAAAACGTCTTACTGTAATTTGTAATTTGTTTAAACTCAGGTTAAAAAGTACCCACGATCACTAAAATTTTAGTTAAGTAAGTTGAAGCTTGCTGTTTCAAAACCTTGCCTGAACCCATTTCTTGCAGCAATTGATGATTTAGTAAAATTTATGTTTGCCATAATGTCTAACATTTGCTTCACACTAGTTTTAACCATGACATAATCTTATGGTGTAAATGGCACTTGGCATATTAACTGATTACTGAATAACGTTTTAATAAAGTTATTATTTTTAAATGCAAAATGAAGAGGTCATACTACAGACATTGAAGTGCACTATCAGTAAAGCATAGAATACTCTAAATTTGCTGCTGATAGAGACGCATATATTGCTTAATCATAAAACCTTCAAGATCTAGTCCTAGACTGCTCAGGAGCTTAAAAATCCATTAAGAATTATCATTACTCGCTATTTTAAAAATAACTTCATGATTTCAGCTTAGTATCGTTTGTTTAAATTCCTTTTTATTACTGCGCCCTTTCTTTTTCAAAATTTGCTTTAATCACTGAAACAATAACCATTGATTGCTCTTTCAAACTGTTTTACGTTTGTCCTCGACTGTTGAATTACTGATCTAAGCCACAATATATACCATCAGATTTGAAAAATTCAAAGAAGTGATATTAAACTTTTGATTCGGGTTCAGCTGGGACTAGATAAGACCTCAGTCGTGTAATGGGTACATGTAATAGGTACATGTAGCATGGTTATGATATGTAACCAAACTTATAAATCTCTAGAAAAGGGCAGGTTATTCTCGAATGAAATATCAAAATTTAGTAGTGGAACAGCAATACTAAGGTAATGGGACTACTGCGGACCCTCTACCGGCCAAACCTTGTTAACAAAGCCGCAGTCAAGGTTCGGTGAACGGTAGTTAAAAGCGCTTAAGGGACATAAGTCAAATTGGTAGAGCAACATCATGTAGTGGACGTCTTAAGAAATGAGGAGTAGGTAGAATGTTAGGTTGCTCCTTTATAAATCGTCTTTTTCTCCGATAATAAGTTGACATCAAGTCTTGAAAATTATTCGAGAAGAATCTCGAAATAATTTAGTTGCAGCGTGCCACATGGCTATCTAAACTGCAAACCCTACCCATTGCTGAGCAAGGCCTTTATCTTCTCCGACGAGCGGGATCATCAATAATGAGGTCTGATCGTCATCTTCTTACAGCGTTCGATGTCTGTGTGAAGGTAAAATGGTGATATCCTCTGGATCAGGCAGAGGTTGAGTGTTATCGGGATTATTTCTTTAGTAGTGGAACAGCAATACTAAGGTAATGGGACTACTGCGGACCCTCTACCGGCCAAACCTTGTTAACAAAGCCGCAGTCAAGGTTCGGTGAACGGTAGTTAAAAGCGCTTAAGGGACATAAGTCAAATTGGTAGAGCAACATCATGTAGTGGACGTCTTAAGAAATGAGGAGTAGGTAGAATGTTAGGTTGCTCCTTTATAAATCGTCTTTTTCTCCGATAATAAGTTGACATCAAGTCTTGAAAATTATTCGAGAAGAATCTCGATCAGACCTCATTATTGAAATATCAAAATGTCCTGAACGTCTTGTTGAACTGAACATCAAGATATATTTCAGTTCTAGTATCCAATATAATCAGAACTTAACCTAATTATTTTCATCATACATATTGCAATCACAATAGTGCTTTAGCATTGCCCCTGCGTTTCTAACTATTAGTAATGATACTAATAGTTTAAAATGGGTAGACTAACTTCCTTGGCAAATGCTCCTTTCCAGTTGGACCCAATTATGAAATTTGGCATTATATGAGAGAAAACTTAATCAAGGTATTTGACAGCAGGATAAGAGGAAACGGTCAGAAGACGAGGAAGAAGTTGTTAAAAAGAAGAAAGATAAGGTGAGAAGTAAGTCAGGCAAGGAAAGTAAGAGGAATAAACATAAGGATAAGAGCCAAAACGATGAGAACTGATATAATCTTCAATGTTTATAATATGTATAATTTTGAAATGGTCTTATCAAAAATGAGTGGGTAACATCTGTGGAACTTGTTATATTTTCTTATTTTTAAATTAAACATTTTTATGATTACGTTCCACATAGACATGAAGAATTATAAACTATTTTCCTTGAACCTGCATCTTGAAAAGGCCTATTTCATGATTAAGCCATTAAGTTTTAAAGCAATTTTGAACGTTTTGTCCTTCAGACCATACAGCGTAATTATTATTATGTTATAATATATTTATTCATGTTGCTAATTGTTTTTATTATTTGAATCAGCATTATCATGTAGCTGTTTTAATTAAATTTTCAGGTTATTGTGCTTATCTGTGAAATAAGATATTCGAATTAACAAGTCCAATCCAACTAAACTAATAACTAATTTTGTATTCTAAATTTATAGCAAAGGTGATGTTTGACTGTTTTCTAACCATTCCTACACTAGATTTAAAATGAAGTATTTCTGTATTTAATAAACAATTCCTTGACTCACACCACAATCTGTTTACAATAGGTCAGTAGAATGTCTGGCGAAGTAAGCTTACCTCGCCGGAAAAGTGCGCAACGAGCAGGCAACTCCCTCAAAAAGTACGTGGTATTCCAATCTGGAGGAGGAAAAGAAGAAGACAGTGATGACAGTGATGGGTTTGTAGGAGATCAGATCTCATCTGAATCCTCCAGTGATAATGAGATTGAGGTAGCTGAGAGTAACGAGGACGGAGGAGCAAGTGCTGACGAGGAGCTCTCTGATGAAGGGGAGACTGTTTTCAATTCCCCTCACCGCCGGAGGTCCATCTGGGATACTGCCGCTGCAATCAGGGACATCAGGAAGGATAACATGGTGGTTTATGGTGGTAAAATGTCCTTTTTGGAACCAGTAAGCTTGGAACCTGTTGAATATGATGAGCAAATAAATATATCAGTTAACGGGGAGCAATTATCTGCGTTTTCCAGTATTGATTCAGAGAATATCAGTATCGGCTATGCTGGAGGTACCGCAGTCTTAGCAAGATGGATTCCAAACAGCACGTTTGTTTGTCTAGCTGTTTGCAATTCCTCGCACATAGTGACTTACAAATCTCCAATTATTGACTCTATTCAGTTGTGGAGCTATGAAGACGGACAGCTCACATTTTTATACTCACTAAAAGTTCCTGTTTTCTATGACCTAGTAGTGTATCCATACAGGACTGAGGATTCTTCAAATTTTACCCTTTGCATAAGTTGTCAAAACTGTGTCAGAATGTTTAGTCTACCCACTAAAAAACCAGACGGCTCAGCATTACATTTCCGAGCAGAAGAGCCGTCCCTCCTGCTAAAAATAGGAACCTGTCATGATAATCTTCAAGTTGCTAAACTTAATTGGTCTTTGTTTAATGACAAGGTCCACCTATTAGGTGGGTTAAATAATGGGTATATCGTGATATGGACTATAGGTAAACATACTGACGAGGGGGTCACTGCATTGTTACCGAGTCAGAAGGTTTGGGCGCACTACGGACACCCTATATCTGATATATCAGTATTCCCACAGACACAGAACCTATTTTGTACAATTGCACAAGATTCTCGAGTAAAGTTCTGGGATCTGAAGAATTTACGATACTGCTTGTACTCACAGACCAGACCCCAGAAACAGCTCTTGCTTCCGTCTCAGAGTCATTGGTGTGCTTTTTGGAGCAGCGTTCTGGTTCTTTCTATGATGCCGGTGAGAGAGATCAGTTCAAATAGAGTTCATGCAAATACAAGCTTATGGCAATTACCAACAGCTCCATTGCACAATCCTTCCCAAAAAGTTTTGAATATTACTCTTCCGCGGATATTTTGTAATGACCTTAGTGGTATCTCACCGCGATGTTTTGATTTCTGTGATGCAACCTCCACTCTGGCTATTGGGTTCCAGTTGGGAATGGTTGCTTTGTTTAGAGTTTCAAATCTGTGGATTTTGCCACATTCCAAGGAGAGATGTCTTAAATCTGGCAATTTCCTCTACTTGAATACGGCTGCTACTGCAAAGATCAATGTTGATGTTTCCAAGGAATTTAAAGATGATCAAGATTTTATAAACCATTTTGAGTTCAGCCTTCCAATAAAGCTATCTTCCACATCCCCACCAAAGTTATCTTCTGTTCCAGAATTTTCTAAAAAGGCGTTAACTTCAGTGACTCACGTGGAATTACAAAAATTTGACTCCACGAACAAAAGTTTATGTGTCAATTACATGTCGGGACTGTTTCAAGTATTGAAGCCTCCTGATTCTTTATCTGATCCCAAGAACACATTTTAAAATGATTGGTATAGTACTGAAATTCGTTCCAGAGTTTATTTTTAAGTCTGCACCTGTGGCCTGAGGCTAATAAATATCTTTATTATATAAGTTTTTCTCATATTTTAGACTTAATGTGAATTACTTCTGATACCGGTTGCAATATTTATATTTGAATTTGTGTCCATGTTTGAAGGAACAATTATGATTTAGACTGCCTGGCTAGTGGCTATCGTTAACGTTTGATGACTTGTTTATTTTTAAGTTATATTTATTTATTTGTATATAATTTACGCATCCATTATTTTACTATTTAAATGACATATTATCTAGTAACTACTGGACAGGCTAAATAATAACAATTCATAGCGTGGTAATTTATTTCATCAGCCTTTGTTATTGATAAAAATATGTACATGAAGGCTATAAATTTAAATTTGTCATAAGACTATGTTTTCGCCTAGTAAGAGTGAAATTATACTTATTAAGTGTATAGTAAATAACTTAATATTATAAATCACTAAGTTGTACATTAATTAATTATAATTTAGCAGTTTACAGTTACACTGGAATGACTGACTCCAAGTCGGAAGTTGGTTTCGATTTCGAGTTTAAAGTTGTTCTCGTTGGTAGGTTTCTTTTTCAGTTTTTTTATTAAACTTATTTAATCGTTGAATCATATTTCGAGATATGTTGAAATGTTGAAATGTTGGAAAGTTGAAATTTTTCAGGTGATGCAGGAGTTGGTAAGACCAGTGTGCTTCGTCGTTTTATAACCGGTTCTTTTGCTCGTCGGAGAGGCAGCACTTTTGAAGATGCTAAGCACAGTAAAACTCTCCAGATAGATGGAAAACAAATAGCGGTACATATTATACATATTTATATTATACATACATTATTTATACATATTATACATATTATGCATATTATGCATATACATATTATACATATTACGCATATTATGCATATTATACATATTATGCATATTATACATATTATACATATTATACATATTATACATATTATACATATTATACATATTATACATATTATACATATTATACATATTATACATATTATACATATTATACATATTATACATATTATACATATTATACAGGTTATACATATTATACATATTATACATATTATGCATATTATACATATTATACATATTATACATATTATACATATTATACATATTATACATATTATGCATATTATACATATTATACGGTACATATTATGCATATTATGCATATTATACATATTATACATATTATACGGTACATATTGCTCTCTTGCGGGAATCTTACTGACACTCATCTGAGTTTTTGATAATACTCCAAGCTGTTAATTTAACTCATTGATTCCCATTGGGAATTAATCATTGCGATAAATCATTTGAATACTTCAATACATTTTAAGATCAAGTCACTTGGCTTCTCTGTACATTTCACAAGTTTCTCATTGTAATTGTTTCACTTTCTCTTTCACTTTAATGAATACCTTCAGTTGGATATATGGGACACAGCAGGACAGGAAAAGTTCAGGACGTTAACCACTAGTCACTTTAGACGTACTGACGCAGTTATTTTTACATACGATATAACTTCTATGGACTCATTCAGGAACATTAATTACTGGCACGAGACAGCTAAAAAGTAAGTTTGTACATAATTTAGATATTAAGGTACAGTATATTCTTTTAAGTTCATTGTTAGGTGATGTGTCGATGGACTCTGGACGTTAGCTTGACGTACTTCTTGTACATATTTTAAAGTAGCTTAAGGTCCACTTGACAGTTGACGCGTGGCATAAGTGATAAGATCCAATTAATTTAGAAACTCTGTTCACTTTAAAAAAATCATATTTGAAATTAGTGCATTTCCTGAACTGTAGAAACATAAATGATTATGAAAAGACGACGAAGGTTTTGATTGGCAATAAGAAAGATCTAGAGAATTTGTCGAGAAAAGTGTGTTCCGACGACGCAGATATTACGGTGAAAACGAAAGGAATGTGTGCGTTCTTTGAAACCAGTGCAATGGAATCTGAAAATATAAACGAGGTTTCTGACATCGTAATAGCTAATAAGTGTCAAGATGAAGGTCATCTTTAATGTTTTCATTATAAGCCATGCATCGAACTCTCTGAAAGTGATAAAAATGTGATACATAATCAATATTCAACATAATCAACCATGTTTCATTAGTTTGATGTGTAAGGTACATGTAATGTTTCAATATCAGAAGATGCCCTGACTCTTGTGTTAATAAATGTCAGATTTATTGCTGTAATAAATTACACTGTCAAACGTGTGATGAGTCATTGATTTCAATTTATAAAATAGATCTAATCTAAAAATAAATTATAACAAAACAGATCTAATGTTCCGATTATCGTGATAATGGGGTATCATAAAATCATTAAAAAATAAAATCATTTAAAAAGTTGCTATATTGGACATTTAGAGGTGCAATAGCGAAAATTGTGAACGAAAATAAAACGTTATTTATTCTAATAAAGTGGTACAGTTCACCACATGAAATAATATCAACAACTTTTACTCACAAAATGTTTACAGGTGTTTGAGTTGATCGCCAGGACACTTAAAAACCAGAAAGAAAGTGAGGGAGTTTTCACGGGGATTTATGGAGGAGATCAGAACATTAAACTCGAAGCCTCAACAGTATCTTCACAGGTAACTAGAACATGAGATTTATTTATTAGGATAATTTTAAGGTTTATACTGTTCGGAATTTCACGTTTACTTTACAGCATGATTCGTAATGTTACTTACTACAGCTACGATTTTGTTGAAACAGCAGGTATGTTTGAAGTTTCTGATCTGATTTTACCACAGGGTGGTTCTGGTAGCGGGTGCGGTTGTTACTGACTCGAGGGGTGGCTCATAGATAGTAGCTGCTTGGTGTCACAAGTCACATGAACATTTTCACAGTATGACAATCATGCCTTTTAAAGATTAGAATATATCGGTTTTAGCTTTTTATAATGTCATGTGATTTGAGCATCAGCTTATTATTTATGTGCGACCAATACTGTGGGTATTGAAGATTCTGGTAAGTGCATCGCCTCCCCCCGTTAAGGGATCTGTATCAATGCCGTTTCAATTACAAATTGCAAATTCTTTCTTTGATTTAGCAATTCGATGAGACGACCCTTCTCTCTTTTGTTCGTTACTTACCATAGTTTTTAGAGAAAACGAGTCCGCTCAATTGGTTTCACCGTTAAAGTTGAGAGCATTTCATCACCATTGTTTTACTAAACGCATGTGTGTTTCCGCTCAATTGGTGGGAGCTTCACCGTTAAAGTTGGGAGCATTTCATCACCATTGTTTTACTAAACGCATGTGTGTTTCTAGTATCGGAATGGTCCAGAAATGTCTTGGTTCTGCTGTCGTGGTCGGAACAGAGCGGTTCAAATCGAGTTTAACCATCATCGAGTTTAAACGATATTTATTTTGAATCGGTATAACGAATTGTTTGACCTAGACACTGCTAGGACATTTTTTAGTGTTTATATTTTGCTGTTCATTGTTTATATTTTATGTTAAAAAGTTTAACAACGTATGCGTAAGTTCATTGAAAGTTTCTTTATTTCGATGTTCATGTTTTAAATTTTAATTCTGTTTTACGTTTTCCTGGAATTTCTCTATTGAATTCACGAGCATCTGTATTTTGAATGTTTGATCAAGGGGGTTAAGTATAAGGGGGTATAATGTGTGTCCTTCCAAAGGTTTTTCAAATCGGTCAAAAGGCTACGCATACAGAAGAAAACTTTAGGAAGATTATGAAATCAAATATTTAATCTTTCATATCTAAACGATTTGACCGAATTTTATCCCTATAGGAATGGCCGGATCCAGGCCTGACGAAAACTTTGATTTCCTGTTTAAAATTGTATTGATTGGTAAGTGGGGATTTATTTGATTTTATCATTCCAATAATTCCTACAATAATATAATATTCAATAAAATATCAGATGTTTTAATTCTGCTTTAATTCGAAAACTTGAAAATGTCAAGCAAGGAAAACATTAGAGTCTTAACCAAATATTTGCTATGTCCACACTCATAAAATTAGACACCACATTCCACATTGTACTATGCTATATATATATATATCAGTACTCACTAGGATATAAATGAAATATAAAATGTAGTGATATTATTATGTAGACAGTTAGCTGTGATGAGATACTCAACTCTTCTGACATATCGTTGTATTTGACTGCTTTTATAATATTATCATTAGTTTATCACAGCCACTGAGCCACTTGTTTAAAAATACATCATTTATATAATAAGTATTGAATAATAGGCAGGTAAAATGGTAAATATACGAATTAGCTAATTAATTAGCTAATTAGCTAATACGTGAACACTTGCAGGTGACGCTAATGTTGGTAAGACATGTGTGGTACAACGTTTCAAGACCGGGTCCTTCACTGAGCGACTGGGCAGCACTATCGGGGTAGACTTCTCTATGAAAACCCTGGAAATCGATGGCAAACGAGTTAAGGTACTAATACCAAGAAACTTGAGATTTTGAAGCATGTTTGGTCACAAAGTGTAGATAAAACAACATCAGCTGCGCAAACTTCGTGATTGAAAGTTTGATTCTACTTTTGCTTTCCAGTCGTTACCTACCATTCAAGTACATTTCTGGGATGTTTGGATTACACACCTCTGAGTTTAAGTTTAATCTTAATAATGGTGTTATTCAATTTATTATTATTATTTCCTGATTTACCATTATTTCAGCTACAAGTATGGGACACAGCCGGACAGGAGAGATTCAGAACCATCACTCAGAGTTACTACAGGAGCGCTCAGGGCGTTATCATAGCTTATGATATAACCAACAAAGAGACTTTTAGAAACGTTAAAAACTGGCTAGAGGATGTTCAGAGGTAAATTCATTAGGATTAGTTCTCTCTTTTTAAGATATCACAGAGTATCGCTTTAGATTATCACTAATTAATGTTTATTACTAATTTATCTGTGTCACTAGTTCCTCTCACTAAAGTTATTATTTAAACGCACAGGTACACATCAAAAGACATCTGTAAAGTGCTGATAGGCAACAAACAAGACTTGGAACCATTGCGAGAGGTAACGACAGAGGACGCTCAAACTATGTCAGATATTCATGGAATGTTGACCTTCCTGGAGACCAGTGCCAAGGAGTCAACTAATGTTAACGAGGTTTCTGTCTTTGTGTTCTAATCTTATGTAAACTGAGATGGACGGATATTTAGTGTTTATTTTAGCCGCACATATCTTGAAATTGGATCTTGGTGAATTCTCATTACAATCTTTCAAAGACACTGATAACTTAATGATAACTTATTGATAACTTAATGATAACTTAATGATAACTTATTGATAACTTAATGATAACTTAATGATAACTTAATGATAACTAATCTATCTTGCAGGTGTTTGAGTTGATCGCCAGGACACTGAAGAGACAACACGAGGGGGGAGAACCTCTCATCCAAGGTGGAGATGGTAACATTAAACTTGGGACCGGGGGTTCTTCACAGGTAAATCTATTTTTAGTAACAGGAGTTGTATTTCATATTGAGATTTATATTGCCAGAGTTCTCCCCTACAATTTGACATAACTGGTACAATTTGATGTTAGTGAGCTGATGAACATGTTACCTCAGGTGAATGCTGGGTCTAGTTATGGATGCTGTTAGTACTCTTCAGTACGGACTCCGGTAAGTCTGTTTAGTGCATCGCCTTCACTCATGTAGCCTCAATCAGTTTCGTTTTAACAGATCTTTTATTGAACTTTATTGGATTTATTGGAACACGAATTAGATTGGTAGTTTGTATGACTGTGTATACGTGTAATAGTTTTTTAACGTTTTTGGGGTAGTTTTGATAGTTGGACAGTGCAATATTGATGAGCTGCTCAAGATAATGTGTACGCGGTGCACGTGGTAATGTGTAAACGTTGTAATACCTTGGGTTACATTACTCTTTAAATATATTATATTCGACTGAGATAACTCGAAAAATTGCATTGTTGAATGCAATAGATTATGAAATTTCCCGATACTACTAAAATATTACAGATTTTCCCCAAAATCCGCCAAATTTAGCCCACCTTAATTTATAATTATGTAACCTAAGGTATTATGCTCTGAGAATTATCTCTGATATGTATACTTCCATTGCATGAACCATGACCATTGTTATTTCAAATCAGACTAAAATGCTTACGTTTCAATTTAAAGTAGAGCGAATCGATTGTTTGTTCTGCAGATAAATGTATTTTTGATTGTGTTGTTTAACTAACCCAGCACTCCGTTCAAAACAGAATGCCTTACAATTAACATCTATCTATAGAGCTACTTATTGAAGTTGAAGAATTAAGAATTATGTGATATTAGAATTGTATGATATCTCAGTTATAATTTGTTTTGTACATATATTTTCACTTTTTTGTTTTACTGATCTCAATCAAGTGACAAGTTTAACACACCCTACTTTACTTAATACTATACTATACTACCCCTGGTGTTTCTCATGAGAAAAAACAACTTCGTGGCAATATGGTCACTAAGAACTATCCAAAATGTTGTTTAGGGAGCGCGCGTGCAAGTTGATCGTTATGAAAGGACCCTAAATCCATTCCAAAATATCACGTGATTGCGCGCCTTGTGTTGTATTCGTGTAGTTGTAGTCGTGTACTTTCTTAATAGTTAGGGAATAATGCAAAATGTCTGGGAAAAAATTTGCAACAAGCTGATTTTTACAGGAATGTGTTGTCCATAGTGTCAGGAACCACCCCAAAGAGTTTCCAATCTGGATCTGTTGAGCAAAAAAAGTTACAGCCAATTTTCTTCAGGCGCGTATGTCAGCCTGAGGACCGCACTTGAAAAACTCGTAACTATCGTAATAAAGATCCCCAGGAGCACCATAGGGAGTGCAAAATGACCGCAATAGTGACATTATATGGGGCGAATCAGTGTTTTAGGGTCGTCAGATCTTTACTTATTGAGATAATTTCATTTTTATAGGCTAACGTCTCAAAAATTTACTAAAATTTTGAAATTTTACTTAAATTTGGAAATTTAGCAAAATTGTTGTACAATTAAAACATGGTCTAGTTATCAATATTCAAATTCTAAAATTTACTTTCAATTGTCAATTGATCCTTATATTAGTATAGTAAATAATATACATATCACATCAAATTCTGTAAAAAAAGGTCCTGAATTATTAGCATGGTGTCTTTGATTGGCAACTATTAGGTCACTTCTGGCTATCCTATTTCCTCAGATTTGTTTGATTCTCCTGAATCGTCCTGTCTTTCGGGTGCATTAGTGCAACTTAATCCTTGACATTGGCCACATGCAGGTAGACATTTAAAGCCATACTTCCGGCAGGAACACCTTAAGTACTTACAAGGGTTCTCAACCTCCACAGAGCAATTGCAGCAAATGAGGTTGAGCATCCCTGCCGGGGCAATCGCAGCTTTAGTCGGGATTGGCCGGTAGTATCCTTCAGAACTCATCTCCCATCCATAATGTAGTGAATTTAGACTTGCAGTGTCGAGTGTCACCCAGTTATGGTACTTAAGATATGATCTTAATATATGCTCAGTTGCAGAGGATGTAGACGGTGGTAGCCTTGATGGGTTGAGTTTTTTTTTTGTTGCTATCATTCTACTGTAGCTGAGACATCTGAAAGTTTCAAGTGCCTTGATTTTATCTCCATAGATATGTTGAAACAAGGAGAGGCCAGCTTCAATTACTTCATTTGTTGAAACTCTCACAGAGAGTAATGATGCTAAATGACCCTCCTCATGAAAAGAAACTGCCTTTTTCAATATCTTCACCTTACCAAAGCCATGTATACTGCTGACCGTGTCACATCCTGAGAAACTGTGAACAAACAGTAATATGCGTTTTATGTTGGCATCAAGAGCATTTACTATTTTACTGATCGAGTGTGAGCCGTTTCTGGTCGTCATCACAATTTCATTGTGATTCTCAGTAAAATGATGAATAACGAGGCAAAGTATATCAGTATCCTCTGCTTTTACCTCAACATCTTCGTAGAAGGACAAGTTTAAAGCTTTACTAGCTACCATGGTATCAGCATCATCAGTAGCTACATGTACTTCAATTCCATGTTCTGTAAAAACGTTCGACAGAAGCTTTATAAGCTCATGCTTGTTCTTTGAGTTGCTGAACAGTTTTTTCATCGGAACTGTGCACACAGTAGTACTTTTAATAGCTATATCAGAGCAGTATAGCAGTATGCCTTGATTCTTCGCTGATGCTCATGATCTTTTGTTGATCGGGCATAGCCATCAAACACAACAATCACTTTCCGCTGTTCGGATTTCGGAACTAGCTTAAGGTATTCATTAGCTATGTCGCCGTATGTTTCAAAGCCTGTGAACGAGGTAACTTGATAGAGTAGCCATCCACCATCAATTATTAATGGGGAGGATGGGTTGCTAAATGTCACAGTACAATCAACAACATTCTTGAGGTATTGCCCAAGGGCTGCCTTGTTTGCCTTTCTCAACATCTGCTCATTGTTTAAAAGACTCATCGGCATTGCTGTGAGCTCATATTGGAAGCTTTCCTCCAGTGTAGACTCTCGTTCAGATGCGAAGCAGGTCGAGGTCAGTACTCCAAAGCTCTACGGCTGTATCTTGAGCAGATTACCGTACTTGAGATTCAGTATGGGGCACTAGTCAAAACGTTCAAGGTCGTAGGTCTGCACACAGTTCGATATAATGAACACGAGTGGTCTGGTGTGTGGACAGACCTGTCGATCGAACAGCGACTAATGAAGGCTGCAAAGTCATCAGGGGGTTTGTCTGGAGGGAGAATGCGAACTCATGAATCTGCCCATAAGTTATGGACTGCAACCCTCAATCAAATGGCGTTGATAAACGAGAGTGTCGATGAAGCTATTGCAGACTTATCCAATAAAAGAACAACAACAAAAGTTTCTCAGGATGTGACACGGTCAGCAGTATACATGGCTTTGGTAAGGTGAAGATATTGAAAAAGGCAGTTTCTTTTCATGAGGAGGGTCATTAGCATCATTACTCTCTGTGAGAGTTTCAACAAATGAAGTAATTGAAGCTGGCCTCTCCTTGTTTCAACATATCTATGGAGATAAAATCAAGGCACTTGAAACTTTCAGATGTCTCAGCTACAGTAGAATGATAGCAACAAAAAAAACTCAACCCATCAAGGCTACCACCGTCTACATCCTCTGCAACTGAGCATATATTAAGATCATATCTTCAGTACCATAACTGGGTGACACTCGACACTGCAAGTCTAAATTCACTACATTATGGATGGGAGATGAGTTCTGAAGGATACTACCGGCCAATCCCGACTAAAGCTGCGATTGCCCCGGCAGGAATGCTCAACCTCATTTGCTGCAATTGCTCTGTGGAGGTTGAGAACCCTTGTAAGTACTTAAGGTGTTCCTGCCGGAAGTATGGCTTTAAATGTCTACCTGCATGTGGCCAATGTCAAGGATTAAGTTGCACTAATGCACCCGAAAGACAGGACGATTCAGGAGAATCAAACAAATCTGAGGAAATGGGATAGCCAGAAGTGACCTAATAGTTGCCAATCAAAGACACCATGCTAATAATTCAGGACCTTTTTTTACAGAATTTGATGTGATATGTATATTATTTACTATACTAATATAAGGATCAATTGACAATTGAAAGTAAATTTTAGAATTTGAATACTGATAACTAGACCATGTTTTAATTGTACAACAATTTTGCTAAATTTCCAAATTTAAGTAAAATTTCAAAATTTTAGTAAATTTTTGAGACGTTAGCCTATAAAAATGAAATTATCTGAATAAGTAAAGATCTGACGACCCTAAAACACTGATTCGCCCCACATAATGTCACTATTGCGGTCATTTTGCACTCCCTATGGTGCTCCTGGGGGTCTTTATTACGATAGTTACGAGTTTTTCAAGTGCGGTCCTCAGGCTGACATACGCGCCTGAAGAAAATTGGCTGTAACTTTTTTTGCTCAACAGATCCAGATTGGAAACTCTTTGGGGTGGTTCCTGACACTATGGACAACACATTCCTGTAAAAATCAGCTTGTTGCAAATTTTTTCCCAGACGGTCCTGTATTAATGTTAATTGTCCCTAACTATAATGTTTCATGCATAATTAGTGTTAATTCATTGGTTAATTATGAACATAATGTTGGATATGCCCTACCCCTTGCTCCATCAAGGGGTATTACTATTCAATAAGTTTCACAGTTTACAAGAGTGGCATGACGCGACGTGTTCCATAATGATTAATGCACTTGACGGAAATACACTATCATTAATCAGGGATGGCCGTTTCCGACAAATCTCTGTTGTGTACTATCTTTTAATTTCGGCGGTGCAAATTGGCCTATTATTAACAGAACATTTATAAATTTGGCTTATCATTCAAGCAATGGCAGATCATGATGAGCCGGCAGATTTTGCTAACGACGATATTGGAGACGATGGAGATAATGACTTTGAGCCTGTTTTCGATACAATAGATCCTGACCAAGCTCAAGCTGCCGAAAAACAGGTGGATATGATTTTAGTTCTTTAGCCATATGAAGTATCGATTTTCCAGTAAAGCATGTTGATTTTGTTTTTAGAATGGTGTTCATGATTTTTCACCATACTGATTTTGCCGATATGCACTAAAAAAAGCCAAGGCATGGACAGATTTTCAATGTTCGATTGAGGGCACAGCAAATTACACCTTGTTTCCAACAATGGTTCAATGTGTATTTAAACTAGAAACAGTGAAGAAGTGATCTTAATCTCCCCCGTCAGGTGGAGCCCAACAAGCGTATCACAACAGCGTACATGACAAAGTACGAACGAGCCCGGATCCTGGGAACCAGAGCACTGCAGATATCCATGAACGCGCCCATCATGGTGGAGCTCAAGGGACAGACTGATCCGCTGGAGATTGCCAGACAGGTAGGTTATGTTGGGATGATAAAGATGAGTCATGATATTTTAGGAAAATTATCTATTCTGTGACACGATATTGATAATCTTCCAATGGGTTGAAGCTGCAAGAGTTAAAGATTACTAATTACAGGAATTGAAAGAGAGAAAAATTCCACTGATCGTCCGGCGGTATTTACCTGATAACAGTTTCGAGGACTGGAGTATTGACGAGCTCATTATTGACTACTAAGACAAAATCAAATGTATTGTTTCTCACTGAGTTCTACGGAGAAGACTTTTCTGATTTCTTGCTCTTTTTTATTTTTAAACTGTTCTTTTTTCCTCGTAACTTGTCAAAATGGTGACTCCTGAATGTCACTGAAGTTTTAGATCATTCAAGTGACTTATTTATTAATTACTGTATTTGAATAAAATTTTATTACAGACTTTTAAAATCCCACAGTGTTTATTCTATTTTTTTGGTGTCAAATTCTGCCTAAAGATTATATTTTATCTGATTGTCCAACATTTTTCACTTTTGGCTGGACAAGATTGATTACAGGTTCAAATTATTTCTGATATATTATTTTAGGGGTTGTTCACATATTATGTAATCAGCCGAGGGGGAGGGGGGTTTCCAAACGATTACGCTAGTGTAATTTTGACACAATAGCTATGTGTAAAAAGGATTACGGAGGGGGAGGGGGTTTTAAAAGTGATCACGTAATATGTGAACGACCCCTTAACAAATATTTTTGAGTGTAGGTTTAATTTCAAGAAGTGTTCGTTGAAGGGATCCCAGGGATTGATACACAGATCACAGCACGATATGGTAAGCTTTCATTATCTACTGACAATTAGTTTTCAATTTGTAGTACAAATAAAAAGTATATATTTTCTTTATAAATTAATAAAATTAAGTATATTTTCTCGTAGGTTCTGGCTCCTCAATAACCTCAGTATCCAATTTCAGTCAGCTATATTCAGTTTCCAGAGCTTGCTGGTGGTCGCTTGTCTGATGATCTGTACATGCACCTACATCAGACAGCACATGCCTTCACTGCTCGACAAAAATAAGAAGGGGTCAGTTTGAAATTAATTATTACAAAAATATTTATTAATTTATTGTTTATTTAATACATTAATCCCACAACTTTTTTGTAATGTTTTGTTGAGGTTTATTGGATTAGTTTTATCGATTAAAAGGCCGATGAAATTTATGTCAATCCGTTGGTTTTGTAATTTTATGGGGGGGGGGGGGGGGGGGGGGGGGGGGCCAATGGCATAAATGGAGAAAATGGAGAATTACTCATAGGTTTTTCCGTTTTCTCCATAGAAATAGTCTCCATTTTATGCCATTTTATGCCATTTTATGCCATTGAAAACCTAAAAATTTAGAATTTCGAGAAAAATTATTTAAAAAAAAGATATTTTCGGCCAATAATGAACAGAGTATCAACTATCATGAAACAATATGGAGAAAAGTGGTTTTCAGAAAAATTTTGAAAAATGTTGACTTAGAAAATTTTCGGTCCGAGTCATTTTCGATGCGTACATCCCGTATCGAGAGCTCCCGATTCCGAGCTCGTGTTGCAAAGGGGAGGCCTGCCTTCCGAGATCGCATTACCTCGAGTCCAAAATTGTGTATCGAGGGGAAAAAAATATTTTTGGCAAATAATGAACAGGGTAGCATGAAACGTGGAGAAAAGCGGTTTTCAGAAAAAATTTGACCGAACAAATATTTTCGGCTTATAATGAACAAGGTAGCATGACGTGGAGAAAAGTGTTTTTCAGAAAAACTTTGAAAAATGTTGACTAAGAAAATTACCCCTCGGTACACAATTTTGGACTCGAGGCTTCCCCCTGGTAATGTGATCTCGGAAGGCAGGCCTCCCCTTTGCAACACGAGCTCGGAATCGGGAGCTCTCGATACGAGAAGTACGTATCGAGAATGACTCGGGCCGAAAATTTTCTAAGTCAAAATGTTTCAAAGTTTTTCTAAAAACCACTTTTCTCCACGTTTTATGCTACCCTCTTCATTATTAGCCGAAAATATTTTTTTGGTTTTTCGGTTTATCGAAGTCTGCACCTACCCCTCGATAGTCGATACACAAATTTGGACTCGAGGCTTCCCCCTGGTAATGCGATCTCGGAAGGCAGGCCTCCCCTGCGAGCTTGTTTCGACTTTCGAGGATGTAGGTCTCACTTCTCAGTGCCTATTACTCTCCCCTATTACTCACTCCTGCTGTAGCCTGTAGAAATAACTTTACACTAGGCTTGAGTAATTATGAGTTTTCCTGAAGTGTGCCTCTACTAACCTAGTATAAGCATCTAGTAGCCTACTATGAGCTTTCATAAGCTTGTTACGCCCCTAGTAAGCGTAAATAAACATGTTAGGATGTCCAATTTAGGTGTTAAATGGTGTTCAAGATGAAATTTCGAAGACAAAATTCATGGCATAAAATGGAGAAAGTGGAGAATTACTCATGGGTTTTTCCATTTTCTCCATAGAAAAAGTCTCCATTTTATGCCATTTTATGCCATTTTATGCCATTTTATGCCATTGGCCCCCCCCCCCCCCCAATTTTATGTTGACGTAAATATGTTTCAGGATTTTGGGAGTATTCTGGAAGAGTGCCAGAATCGGAGAGAGATTATCACCGTTTGTAGGGGTCTGGTGTGTTGCCATGGCATTTGGTGTTCTCTTCATACAGTGAACACTGACCACGGGCCTGTTTTTGATAGAGATCTCTGATTTGCTATTTATTGGGGTACTGTAAACTGTTTACTTCAGATTTTAATTTCTCCTATTTTAAACGCGGATTGATAACAATTATATGTACGATCAGCGAAGATAAAATATGCATTTTTTTCATTGAACCATCAACTTATTTTGACTTTTCGGCATTTAATTTTTGCAAACATTTATAATTATTATTTAAATACTTACGTAAGTTTAAAATTAATGGGAAATCTGTGCTCTCCTAGTTATTTCGTCTCTAACGCAATATTATGATATCGTACGTGACTTGTAAATTTTGTTTTATATTAGACTGAAATTACCTTCCACTTGTGTCAGACTAGGGATAGTTTTATTGTTTAACTTATTCTCTTAAGAACCATAGAACCCATTGATATCTTCTTTTTTTTTTTTTTTTTTTTTTTTTTTTTTTTTTTTTAAATGAGGAACCTGCCAAACCCCAGGACACCAGGAGGATACCACCGGCAAAGCGGCTAATAGTACCCTCCGGTCTGTGTTGTACCGAAGAAGCTGAGTTAATCGATATCTTCTTGTAACTCCATCCATTTCACTAGTCACTTCAATTTTAATTACATCTAATTTGCTAACATCTTACAGTTCAATAACTCTTTTAAAATCAATTTCCACCTTTCTTCCAAGCGTATATGGTAGAGAGAACCCGACAGTTTAAGGTTGAAGTAAAGAAACAACGTAACCTCTCTGGAACTACAGGAGTAGACTCTAACATCCTACCAACCAAGTCGCACCACACCCAGTTTACTAAAAACGCTACTAGCGTCCTCCACACTATCAAACAGGTTACTTGATTCTCGTCCGTTTGATGAAAAACGACGAGTAAATCATTGCTATTAGGTATTCAGTCACTGTCATGATTTGTTGGTATACCGCCCCTACCGTGCTTATTTAATCAGTTAATTAATTAATTGATTAATAAGTTAATTGATTAATTATCGCAGCTAGATGAGCTAGTGGAAGAAACACGTGAGAAATACATAGGATCTCCCTGCAGCAATGAGTTCTCTAGTCTCTCCGATCGACAGAGGTAATTCATCCTCTTAACTTCATATTAAAAATGTTGTTTGTTTGCTATTAAAAAAAGTTGTTTGAATGCTTTTGATGTGGCTGATAACAGGCAACAGCACATTTATTATTTACTAATGCCTACTTAATAAATTCTCTAGACTCTAATTACATTATCTAGCAAATAAGTAATTCTGTATAATATCTATCAGGTTGGATATAGACATGTCAGCTAACATGTTTATGGTTCAATGTAAGGACGCTATCTCTTCTCTTTCTAAAAGAGTCTCCGATACCAACGGTTCGTGAAGTTATTTTACATCGTCAATAGTTATAACTTTATAAGCTCTGATATTTTACCATAATTTGTATATTGACTGTTGTTTTAAAAGAACAAATTGTTCTCTCAGTTCAATAAATTTGGTAAGTCCTTCTCTCAATCACTCTTGTATTATCAGGGCAACTGAAGACACACCAAGAAGGAGTGATATTCGTGCTGACCCACTGTCTGAAGCTGACGTGTGACAAGTACTCTAAAACTAAAGCTATCCACGTGAAGCAGACGTTGGAACAGCACAGACTTGCTAAACTCAGCTCACATCGCAACACTATTGACAAGATACGGAATATGGAGCAGGTAATTTTAGATTAGGTTGGGGTGGGGCGGGGTGGAGTGGAGTGGAGTGGGGTGGGGTGGGGTGGGGTGGGGTGGGGTGGAGTGGAGTGGGGTGGGATGGGGTGGGGTGGGGTGGGGTGGGGTGGGGTGGGGTGGGGTGGGGTGGGTACACTGAATTCACTTGCTTTACTTTACAGTCACTGAATGACTGATGTTTACATAATACATATTGGCACCAGCTTCATAAATCTTAATGACACGGGAGATTGATTTTTTTATTCGATATTTAAATAAAAGCATGTAACGTATTCTCCAAGTTAATGTTTAGATTTGATTTGGAATTCGTATTTCGGTTTACTCTCTAGAACAATATACATTACACATATGTCATAAAATCATCGTAAAACAAATTAAAGTATACGTACAAAATATAAACGTTCTTAAATTTTCTTATCTTAATATTGCAAATAAAATCAACTATATGATATTATTCTGACGGAATCTTTAACTTCTTTCAACAAATCATTCAATCCTGACACTTCATTCACTGATCGAATATTTGAACGTAGTAAAATAACTGAACAATATACTCTTGCTCTTGATATCATCAGGTAAAGTGGAGCTATTCCAGTCTCCTCAATTCTAGCATCTAGTAAAACTATAGCTGCAGGGTATTCAGCTGAATAACAATCCTTGACGTCGAGAACGTCTATATTCCCATCAGATGCCCTATCTGCAACTGTCGTTATTTCAGGAAACTCACTGGACAAAGAGGAATCCACCACTACTCCGCACGACACACCTGTTTTACATAGCTTATCAAGTTCTTTAGTCAAGATAGCAACAATCATTGAACCATCATCCACCAAGTGAACAACAGTCCGAGGTCCATGTATGTAGTGGCCTGGTCTGAGCATTGGAAAAACTATGTTTGGATCTCCTGATTTCACTTCCTGAGATAACCGTCTTCTTATTTTAGTTAGGTTATCTGCTATATCCCGGGTATTTCTTAAGTTCAGAAATAATGTAACACAACAGGGGAAATCTAGTATGAAATTCGACTGGGCTCTCATCTTATATTCATTAGACACGTGCATCTGAGTTGAATCGCACGTTAACCAGACCAAGCATGATTTTTTCGATGATTCATTGAATCTCTTCTGCAATTCTTCCGTTATCTTTCCATTTTCAGGGTGGTTTTTTAAACCTGCCTGAAAATCATCAAGAAACACATGTACGTTTTTCAAAAAACGGGTTTTGATCAGCTCACTAAGCATATCCTCTGAAGAAGCAGACTTCCTTATTGGTATCTGAACTAACACTAGCTGAAAAAAGGCAGACCATTTCAAAGATTTCATGTCCATCACCTTGTAACTGAGTCCTGCTTCTTTTAACGGATCTTCATACCCTTTAATATTCGATTCGCTATACTTGTTTCCCTTATAAATGATCAACACAACTCTATTGTTTTCGTTAGATTTGATCAACTTTATGATTTTAGCTAACAAGATGATAGTTTTTCCCGAACCAGAAGGTCCATTTATCAGGAGCAATTTCTGATCGCTAATGAAGGCTTTATGCTGTTCGGCTGTCAAATGTTCAATTTTGAGAAAGTCCTTAAAAATATTAGTTCCATCAGCGAGATTAGCAGCTTCTATATCTAAAACGTTGATCACGTTTGGGTTCTTAGGTTGGTTTTTGCTGAGATATGTTATCCTCCCTCTCCTCAGCTCCTCATCTATGTCCTTTACACACTTTCCCAAACTGCACTTTAGTTCATCACACTGGTTCTTATCAGTGCGCCAGATTGCAAGTAGTATCTCTTTAGCCACCTCAAAACCAGCAATTACAGGAACACCCCCGGATATTGAATCAGTGCGCCAGATTGCAAGTAGTATCTCTTTAGCCACCTCAAAACCAGCAATTACAGGAACACCCCCGGATATTGAATCAGTGCGCCAGATTGCAAGTAGTATCTCTTTAGCCACCTCAAAACCAGCAATTACAGGAACACCCCCGGATATTGAATCAGTGCGCCAGATTGCAAGTAGTATATCTTTAGCCACCTCAAAACCAGCAATTACAGGAACACCCCCGGATATTGAATCAGTGCGCCAGATTGCAAGTAGTATATCTTTAACCACCTCAAAACCAGCAATTACAGGAACACCCCCGGATATTGAATCAGTGCGCCAGATTGCAAGTAGTATCTCTTTAGCCACCTCAAAACCAGCAATTACAGGAACACCCCCGGATATTGAATCAGTGCGCCAGATTGCAAGTAGTATCTCTTTAGCCACCTCAAAACCAGCAATTACAGGAACACCCCCGGATATTGAATCAGTGCGCCAGATTGCAAGTAGTATCTCTTTAGCCACCTCAAAACCAGCAATTACAGGAACACCCCCGGATATTGAATCAGTGCGCCAGATTGCAAGTAGTATCTCTTTAGCCACCTCAAAACCAGCAATTACAGGAACACCCCCGGATATTGAATCAGTGCGCCAGATTGCAAGTAGTATCTCTTTAGCCACCTCAAAACCAGCAATTACAGGAACACCCCCGGATATTGAATCAGTGCGCCAGATTGCAAGTAGTATCTCTTTAGCCACCTCAAAACCAGCAATTACAGGAACACCCCCGGATATTGAATCAGTGCGCCAGATTGCAAGTAGTATCTCTTTAGCCACCTCAAAACCAGCAATTACAGGAACACCCCCGGATATTGAATCAGTGCGCCAGATTGCAAGTAGTATCTCTTTAGCCACCTCAAAACCAGCAATTACAGGAACACCCCCGGATATTGAATCAGTGCGCCAGATTGCAAGTAGTATCTCTTTAGCCACCTCAAAACCAGCAATTACAGGAACACCCCCGGATATTGAATCAGTGCGCCAGATTGCAAGTAGTATCTCTTTAGCCACCTCAAAACCAGCAATTACAGGAACACCCCCGGATATTGAATCAGTGCGCCAGATTGCAAGTAGTATATCTTTAGCCACCTCAAAACCAGCAATTACAGGAACACCCCCGGATATTGAATCAGTGCGCCAGATTGCAAGTAGTATCTCTTTAGCCACCTCAAAACCAGCAATTACAGGAACACCCCCGGATATTGAATCAGTGCGCCAGATTGCAAGTAGTATATCTTTAACCACCTCAAAACCAGCAATTACAGGAACACCCCCGGATATTGAATCAGTGCGCCAGATTGCAAGTAGTATATCTTTAGCCACCTCAAAACCAGCAATTACAGGAACACCCCCGGATATTGAATCAGTGCGCCAGATTGCAAGTAGTATCTCTTTAGCCACCTCAAAACCAGCAATTACAGGAACACCCCCGGATATTGAATCAGTGCGCCAGATTGCAAGTAGTATCTCTTTAGCCACCTCAAAACCAGCAATTACAGGAACACCCCCGGATATTGAATCAGTGCGCCAGATTGCAAGTAGTATCTCTTTAGCCACCTCAAAACCAGCAATTACAGGAACACCCCCGGATATTGAATCAGTGCGCCAGATTGCAAGTAGTATCTCTTTAGCCACCTCAAAACCAGCAATTACAGGAACACCCCCGGATATTGAATCAGTGCGCCAGATTGCAAGTAGTATCTCTTTAGCCACCTCAAAACCAGCAATTACAGGAACACCCCCGGATATTGAATCAGTGCGCCAGATTGCAAGTAGTATCTCTTTAGCCACCTCAAAACCAGCAATTACAGGAACACCCCCGGATATTGAATCAGTGCGCCAGATTGCAAGTAGTATCTCTTTAGCCACCTCAAAACCAGCAATTACAGGAACACCCCCGGATATTGAATCAGTGCGCCAGATTGCAAGTAGTATCTCTTTAGCCACCTCAAAACCAGCAATTACAGGAACACCCCCGGATATTGAATCAGTGCGCCAGATTGCAAGTAGTATATCTTTAGCCACCTCAAAACCAGCAATTACAGGAACACCCCCGGATATTGAATCAGTGCGCCAGATTGCAAGTAGTATCTCTTTAGCCACCTCAAAACCAGCAATTACAGGAACACCCCCGGATATTGAATCAGTGCGCCAGATTGCAAGTAGTATCTCTTTAGCCACCTCAAAACCAGCAATTACAGGAACACCCCCGGATATTGAATCAGTGCGCCAGATTGCAAGTAGTATCTCTTTAGCCACCTCAAAACCAGCAATTACAGGAACACCCCCGGATATTGAATCAGTGCGCCAGATTGCAAGTAGTATCTCTTTAGCCACCTCAAAACCAGCAATTACAGGAACACCCCCGGATATTGAATCAGTGCGCCAGATTGCAAGTAGTATCTCTTTAGCCACCTCAAAACCAGCAATTACAGGAACACCCCCGGATATTGAATCAGTGCGCCAGATTGCAAGTAGTATCTCTTTAGCCACCTCAAAACCAGCAATTACAGGAACACCCCCGGATATTGAATCAGTGCGCCAGATTGCAAGTAGTATCTCTTTAGCCACCTCAAAACCAGCAATTACAGGAACACCCCCGGATATTGAATCAGTGCGCCAGATTGCAAGTAGTATCTCTTTAGCCACCTCAAAACCAGCAATTACAGGAACACCCCCGGATATTGAATCAGTGCGCCAGATTGCAAGTAGTATCTCTTTAGCCACCTCAAAACCAGCAATTACAGGAACACCCCCGGATATTGAATCAGTGCGCCAGATTGCAAGTAGTATCTCTTTAGCCACCTCAAAACCAGCAATTACAGGAACACCCCCGGATATTGAATCAGTGCGCCAGATTGCAAGTAGTATCTCTTTAGCCACCTCAAAACCAGCAATTACAGGAACACCCCCGGATATTGAATCAGTGCGCCAGATTGCAAGTAGTATCTCTTTAGCCACCTCAAAACCAGCAATTACAGGAACACCCCCGGATATTGAATCAGTGCGCCAGATTGCAAGTAGTATCTCTTTAGCCACCTCAAAACCAGCAATTACAGGAACACCCCCGGATATTGAATCAGTGCGCCAGATTGCAAGTAGTATCTCTTTAGCCACCTCAAAACCAGCAATTACAGGAACACCCCCGGATATTGAATCAGTGCGCCAGATTGCAAGTAGTATCTCTTTAGCCACCTCAAAACCAGCAATTACAGGAACACCCCCGGATATTGAATCAGTGCGCCAGATTGCAAGTAGTATCTCTTTAGCCACCTCAAAACCAGCAATTACAGGAACACCCCCGGATATTGAATCAGTGCGCCAGATTGCAAGTAGTATCTCTTTAGCCACCTCAAAACCAGCAATTACAGGAACACCCCCGGATATTGAATCAGTGCGCCAGATTGCAAGTAGTATCTCTTTAGCCACCTCAAAACCAGCAATTACAGGAACACCCCCGGATATTGAATCAGTGCGCCAGATTGCAAGTAGTATCTCTTTAGCCACCTCAAAACCAGCAATTACAGGAACACCCCCGGATATTGAATCAGTGCGCCAGATTGCAAGTAGTATCTCTTTAGCCACCTCAAAACCAGCAATTACAGGAACACCCCCGGATATTGAATCAGTGCGCCAGATTGCAAGTAGTATCTCTTTAGCCACCTCAAAACCAGCAATTACAGGAACACCCCCGGATATTGAATCAGTGCGCCAGATTGCAAGTAGTATCTCTTTAGCCACCTCAAAACCAGCAATTACAGGAACACCCCCGGATATTGAATCAGTGCGCCAGATTGCAAGTAGTATCTCTTTAGCCACCTCAAAACCAGCAATTACAGGAACACCCCCGGATATTGAATCAGTGCGCCAGATTGCAAGTAGTATCTCTTTTAGCCACCTCAAAACCAGCAATTACAGGAACACCCCCGGATATTGAATCAGTGCGCCAGATTGCAAGTAGTATCTCTTTAGCCACCTCAAAACCAGCAATTACAGGAACACCCCCGGATATTGAATCAGTGCGCCAGATTGCAAGTAGTATCTCTTTAGCCACCTCAAAACCAGCAATTACAGGAACACCCCCGGATATTGAATCAGTGCGCCAGATTGCAAGTAGTATCTCTTTAGCCACCTCAAAACCAGCAATTACAGGAACACCCCCGGATATTGAATCAGTGCGCCAGATTGCAAGTAGTATCTCTTTAGCCACCTCAAAACCAGCAATTACAGGAACACCCCCGGATATTGAATCAGTGCGCCAGATTGCAAGTAGTATCTCTTTAGCCACCTCAAAACCAGCAATTACAGGAACACCCCCGGATATTGAATCAGTGCGCCAGATTGCAAGTAGTATCTCTTTAGCCACCTCAAAACCAGCAATTACAGGAACACCCCCGGATATTGAATCAGTGCGCCAGATTGCAAGTAGTATCTTTTTAGCCACCTCAAAACCAGCAATTACAGGAACACCCCCGGATATTGAATCAGTGCGCCAGATTGCAAGTAGTATCTCTTTAGCCACCTCAAAACCAGCAATTACAGGAACACCCCCGGATATTGAATCAGTGCGCCAGATTGCAAGTAGTATATCTTTAGCCACCTCAAAACCAGCAATTACAGGAACACCCCCGGATATTGAATCAGTGCGCCAGATTGCAAGTAGTATCTCTTTAGCCACCTCAAAACCAGCAATTACAGGAACACCCCCGGATATTGAATCAGTGCGCCAGATTGCAAGTAGTATCTCTTTAGCCACCTCAAAACCAGCAATTACAGGAACACCCCCGGATATTGAATCAGTGCGCCACATTGCAAGTAGTATCTCTTTAACCACCTCAAAACCAGCAATTACAGGAGCACCCCCGGATATTGAATCAGTTACATTTTCCTGCCACCACCTTCCAAAATCAACTAAGTCTTCCTCACACAATATCTGTTTGTCTTCCGTATCTTGTAGTTTGAGACGTTTAGTGCTAGGAAACGCAGAGAAAGTTAATATTTGGCACTTCTTCGCACATTCCTCTCCTAATACCTGTTTCATGAGTCCGTAAATCAAATTCTTCACTTTTTCTCTCTGCTTTCGTGATTTTTTAATTGCCCCTTCTAGTTCTTTTCTCTTTTCATTATAGGGACCGTTTTTCACCTCTATGATCACCACATATCTTCCTCCGAATATCGAATAGTCGTATTTTGCTTCTCTGTTGGCGGCGTTCTTACATTCTTTACACCCCTCTCTAACATTACTGGCAACACGTAACCTGTATTGATGGTGCGTGTACTCGAACATATGCAGAACCACTATATCCTCTTCCTCCAACCTCTCCAGACATCTGTACATCTTCACTTCTGCCTCGTAGTCGGCCAGCCTTCGTTTATCTCCTTCCACTTTCTGCTGTTCTTCTTCAGATAAACAGCCCTCTTCTTTGTCCAGGTACCAATCTATATAGGTTTGCTTGGGCGGCATGGGCACGTAGCTAAAGCCGTAGCTAAGCTCGTGATCGTGGCTATATATCAACTTTTCATTGATTTCTTTTTCTTTAGTTTTATAATCACTTATCTTTTTCAGTTCTGAAATAGAATTTTTGAGGGCACGAAAACATGATTTACAGAAGTAAAAATATGAAAACTGCTGTAACGGTTCCATTTCACTTCATTACCAGTTGTCTGGCAGTACTATATTCAATATGATATTTACCACAATATTCAGTTGAAGATGAGAGTAGGTGATCAGTATCTACTATCATTGTCAAAGATTTTAGATTGCGTTTCCGTCAGTAACCAAGATGGCCCTTCATATCTAGGGAAAGCATCGGGTCAGCCGAAAACAAAAATCTTCTCGCTGGGTACAGTAATAGTTCTTTAAACCCTGTTTTTGCTCAATTCTTTCCCCATTCACAATAAGGGAAACGAAACAACGTCTGCATCTGCTATGTTTAAAACACAGATAACAATCTGCTAAACAAATTACACTTATACCTTACAACAAAATATATATTACCTTACAACAAAATAACCGAAATGTAAACAGGCTATATTCCTGTTTCGCTTTATTGTAATATACTTTATAGCGACAAGAGTGAAAAAGAAACAAAGAAAACGGAACATACACAATTTAAGCGATCATACATTTAACAACACCAAATACCAATACTACCATTATAAAACTCTCTTCTTCCTAGCTGAATAAAGCCTACATAATCTTAGATAACTTATGAAGTTATGACCACTTCATCTAAGATAAAAATCTCCTTACGACATTAACACTATACCGCCATATAGCATTATACGGCTGCCCTGTCTCAATCACGATTCACGATCCCAACTGCTATTAACAGAATAGTTAATATATACCTCTCGAACAGCTCTGTTAAGATTAATAACCCGTCACTTACTACATGGTCTACTTGATTAAGAATATTTCATTACAAGTAAGCTGACTACTAGCAACATAACATGATGTACTAATGTACTAATGTTCTAATCCACTCCACTCTAATACCTCAGGTTGAACAGTACGTGAAGCCAGAAGAGGAGTTCATCACTGACGAGGATCTGGGTCTGAGTTCAGAGGAAGTGCAGATGTTGGAGATGGAGAATGAGAGCATGTACAGTGAGCTCACCGCTCTTAGTTCAGAGGTCAGTTCAGAGGTTCAGTAGAACAGCTGGCTGTGGTCTGTGTATTATGGGGGGGGGGGGGGGGGGGGGGTGCAGATGTTGGAGATGGAGAATGAGAGCATGTACAGTGAGCTCACCGCTCTTAGTTCAGAGGTCAGTTCAGACTTCAGTAGAACAGCTGGCTGTGGTCAGTGTATTATGGGGGGGGGGGGGGGGGGGTGCAGATGTTGGAGATGGAGAATGAGAGCATGTACAGTGAGCTCACCGCTCTTAGTTCAGAGGTCAGTTCAGTGGAATAGTGGGCTGTAAACAGGCACAGCTGGCTGTGGTCTGTGTATTTCATTTGATAGATCTTGATTTTGTGTTGGCAGTTGTCACGTGATTATGATAAACACATTTCATTAGCTATATCTAAGTCTGTAACTTCTTGGTTCGATTGTAGTGTTATTTTCTAAGATTTTTGTATTTGTTTCAAATTGTCTCTGTAATATTGTGGTTATGATATATCGCAGGTACAAAATATCGAGGGAACAGTGATGGAAATATCCCGGTTACAAGAGATATTCACAGAGAAGGTACTAACACAGACAGACCAGATATTTGAACTTCATAGGACTGCCGTGGAAACAACAGGTTAACTTTAATTGTGTTTTATATGTACATATTTTAACTTTACTATTCTTTTCTAATTGTAAAGTGACTAATTGGTAATCAGGTTCAAAATATGGCAACATATCAGACACATAATTTCATCCATTTTTATGTTAATTATAGACTTATTTTAATTATAGACATATTTTAATTATAGACTCATTTTAATTATAGACTCATTTTAATTATAGACTCAATTAAACAATTTAGGGCATTAAAAATATAGATCATTAATTTAAATAACCAGATTTTAGCCGATCCGGTGTCGTAACACGTTCAGCTATTGTCTGTACTAGCCATTAATCTGGCGGTCTTTCGTAACTGAAAGTTTTATTCGCTCCCTCTAGAAGTCTAGATAACTGGGAGTTTCACGTGCACATTTAATTAGTAATTACCATCAATATAATATCTGTGATAAAGAAAGGGTTAAAGTACTCGAAGTGTTTGAGTCCAACTAATTCCCAAAATAGTTGGACAAACAAATTGAGTACATGCTGATAAACTACTGATATAATAGAACATATTATTCAAGAGCCATTTTTATGAATTAGTTATTTTATTTGTTCTTACCAACTCTAGAACAAATAGGATCGCCATCTGTAGGAACCCCATTTCCGTTCTGACATGCAGCCCTCTTCCCGCCAATGTTGTAAAAGTGGCGGGAACTACATACCAACGTTATCTCTACACCGTGTTTCACTGGTAGTGGGGTTCCCAGTGCAACTCCCTCCCACGTCATATCTTGAATCTCACAGTCAGCTGTGTTGGGGAGTTACTGGGTTTAAGTTACTTCATTTTGTACTAATTGAATAATTTAGTTCGTCTAATTAATTATCATGATTATTCGGACGATAAATAATAAATTCATCTCATTATCTAACTGAATAACCTGGATTTAAAGAAGAATGTGCCCATTGATTCCACACCAAACCGTTACTACCTCCCCCAAAGCAAGATGAACTTAACTCCACTCAGAGAGAACCCATCACGGTACGGGAACGTTAGGCCAATAGTCTGAGGTTAATACAAGTTATAACCGCACCAAATTCAATGCCTTCACCTCAAATATATTATATTCAAATGTAATATATTTGAGGTGAACGCATCCAATTAGGGTTGATTTCCCTCTTTTTCATGTTAAACTGGTGAGCGTGATAACGCTTTCAGGCGTCCTCTAGTCTAAGTAAAAATTAAATCTGTAAAATGCGAAGGGCACTGAAATAAGAATTTATTGTTCAAGTTGCGAAAATTCGCAACACCTAATTGTAGTCGAATGTATTTTGAATGCACCTACCTTCTCGTTCACAAATATTTCAAAGCCGTCCTGCGAGCATTTTACTTCAACCTTGAAAAGTTGACCATCCTCCAAATTTGGCAGCGTGGTAGATATTTGATTCTCATTCCAAACGTTTGAATCCTTCGTATTTAGAACTAGCTGTATCTGTAATAGTGTAATGTGTACAGTGTTCAAAATAATATTGAAAAGTCGAACTGATAGTGATAATAAGGCGGAAACTGAGTAGTGCCTAAAATGAAAGATAAAGTGGTGCTGATAAATCCTGGCATATCAAATTGATATTATAAATCTCAAATCTGAAATCTGGGTCCAATGAAAGGCATTACTTTGAAGCGACCAACAAAACAACGAGCGAAAGTAAACCTCCTTTTTGCTAGATCTGAAACTAATATGTAACATATACATGGTGGGATCATCATCCTGCACCAGATTTATACTGAACGCTGAAGAGAGGGCTGCAAATGTTCCGCACACTGAATAAGAGATGTTATGTTCTCTGGCTAGTAGCAAGTAGATTTTACCTCGTTAGATAAATTAAACACATTCCCAAGGATATTTTATTTTGCGTTTTGTATAATTAATTAAGTAGATACTCATAGATGTGGATACTGGTGGGGAGGTGAAACACATTTGTTTACTTTAATAGTAAGCACATGTTCAGCGGGTTGAGGAGGTGAAACACATTTGTTTACATTTTTAGGGTAAGCACATGTTCAGCGGGTTGAAGAGATGATACACATTTTGTATTATAGAAGGCTTGTAACACTTGTAACGCTTTCTTGTTACCCCCCTTTGAAGGCCCCGAATTATTTTCTGAACGAAAGCTCAAAAATAACCGAGAAATCGACCTTCTTATTAACTCATTTTGATGACTGTTTCTGACCGAAAATTGCACGAAAAATCGATTTAGCTAGGTTTCAGAACCTATAAACACTTCCTTATCCCTCAAAATTGATGTTTTGTAGTTGATACGAGCAACAAGCAACATATGTTTTGATCCTTCGGTTCTACTCATGACCTAGGCAGTTAAGCTGAACCCGACAGATCGAGGCAATCCTCACCTTAACTGATCAAACTGGTACTTACACAATTTTCAGATATAAATGTTCTTTGCGATACGTTTATTGCAGCTTTGCAACTTGAGTGAAGACCAGAGTACGAAAACACACAGCAGGTAAGCAACTCACTTTTGGTGACTGTTCCTCACGAACATTCTGATCCTGCAACATATGAACAGCTAGGGAGATCGTCTCCTTAACAAATCGGACAGGTACTATCACAATTTCCAGAGCACAGCATGATAACAAAGTCAAAAGAAACACAACGAAGGTAGGTTACCAACACCACAATATAACAATTATACTAACAACTGAATTAAATTTATTCTGACGACGGGCAGCCCTGATGTGCTCCGTCATCCTCAACGAGCGACCACTTGTAATAGAGGTGTTATGTCATGTGACACCGATCCGTCCCATCACAAACAGGACGAGTCAGCAGATCGATATCGTGTGTTTACTTTCCTTAAATCTTTATTTGACCTTCTGTTCACATTGTTATCTCTACCACATCTCGGCTCGGCAAGGTCCGCGTGCAATATCTGCACCGCGGTAAACACGCCATGATTACGTCATGAACTTGAAATAGTGTGATTGTTGTACTTATATAACCGTGCCCATTGCCCACGTACAATACAAACTGTTGGGGGGGGGGGGGGGGGGGGGGTTTAAGATAAACAACCGATCTTGATAGTGTGTTGGTCGCTCCTCCAACTGACTGTGATGCTAACTGTTCAATCAGGAACGAAACATTAACATTGTTTAGTTATAGCATGTTTCGGTTTAGTTGTCCAATTGCGTATTATTAAAAACATTTACTCTAATATGAGGTCGCGATTGTGAACTGAGTGAGATCCAAATGATGAACTGTGCTTTAAGTTTACACCAACTGGAAGCAAAGGAATAATGCATATATCCATGAGTGCTGCTTTGCTTAACTTTGACAGTAAGTGTTTAAAAACAGAATCTAGGACACGACTTCACTGACAAGAACTGTATGTTCCAGGAGGAGGCAGTATACAGGAGGACAAGCATGGTTATACCTGACAGAGTTGAAGTACTAGTTCACCATGGTGCAATTTCGACTTCTCACATTTTCAAAAAAGAGTTAGAAATAGATGCAGCTGTTCTAGGGACTGCTTCAAAACTTTTTTCCTAGTATATTGCAACGAAGCTAAATGCAGGTAAATTCAGGTATCGAGATCACAGATAACATCGATATGGAGGTCCTGGCTGGATATCATGGTCAACAAATTTAAGACCCTGGTTGGCGACGATCTACCGTCACTAGCGAAGTGCCAGAAAGCCATGCCCGCATGCTTCGCTTCCCACCTCAACACTAGGATTGTGATTGACTGTACCGAGGTATGATTTGAGTCCATTACCAGAACCGAATGAGCAGCTACAACTTTAGAGCTCAGACAAAATTATGAAAGTCACAGCAGATAAGTTGACGCAATATTTCGCTTTGAACGTGACCAGTGAATTGGTGTTCTCTACAGCAGTACAATTACGGCGGGGTGCGAATTGTGATGTTCAAAATTTCATTTTGTTATTGCAGCTGTAGCAATTGAAAATTCCTACAATCCACAGGTCCCAATTGAAGCTCCGTCCAACATTGAGTCGGGCGCCAGATGTTACAGCCATTATAAGTGTAAGTTCAGTCGATCATACCTTTCAATAATGCTGAACCTGCAACGTAAATTACAGATCTTCTGCTTTCGTACCTCATACAATTTCCCCTGCATAATTGTTCTGTTCCATCTCCAGCTACGCACACAGCCAAGTTACTGATCGGAATTGCGCCCAGTGGGGTAATCACGTATGTCAGCCGCTGCTACCCTGGTGGCACAACCGATAAGGAAATTGTAGTGGATAGTGCCATACTGCAGAAGCTGACTGTTGGTGACAACGTGATGGCTGACAAGGGGTTCCTCATTCACGACATTTTGCCCGAAGGTTAGTTCCAACCGTGCTACACTCGAAATATGAGATTTTTCTGAACGGGCCCCCTATAACACTAACAGTTAAAACCAACTTAAATCGTAGTATTTATATTTTTGTATGCGGATTGCGAATCACCAAAATGATGCTCCTCTGGCGAGATAACGTGCTCTGACCTATGGTTTCTAATTTCTCGTTAAGGTTTCAGCATATTACGTGTTGAAACGTCACGTAACAGTTGAGTGTATAGTGATGAATCAACGTCCGGTTAGTTAAGAATAAGCGGCATAAAAAGCGAATTAAATTTCAGGAGTTACACTAAACATCCCAGCGGGGATGTGGGGCAAGACTCAGTTCACGCCGGAAGAAGTAGCAGCCAGCAGAAAAGTCAGCATCGCCCGCATCCACGTGGAACGCTCAATTGGCTATCTGAAGCGGTACAAGATTTTGGGAAACAAAGTTGTGGCGAAGATGTTGCCTTATCTGAGCGACATCGCATTCGTGTGTGCCCAACTTGTTAATTTGAACCCTGTTTTTTTGAGGGAAGTGGACAGTGATTTTTTAAAAATGACCTGGTCTGCTTAAATAACTAAAAAATTATGTTAATATTCTGTTCATGACTGGACGATAAGTTCCTACAATCCCCCCCCCCCCCCCCCCCCCCCCCCCCCCCCCCCCCCCCAACAGTTTGTATTGTACGTGGGCAATGGGCACGGTTATATAAGTACAACAATCACACTATTTCAAGTTCATGACGTAATCATGGCGTGTTTACCGCGGTGCAGATATTGCACGTGGACCTTGCCGAGCCGAGATGTGGTAGAGATAACAATGTGAACAGAGGGTCAAATAAAGATAAGGAAAGTAAACACACGATATCGATCTGCTGACTCGTCCTGTTTGTGATTTGACAGATCGGTGTCACATGACATAACACCTCTATTACAAGTGGTCGCTCGTTGAGGATGACGGAGCACATCAGGGCTGCCCGTCGTCAGAATAAATTTAATTCAGTTGTTAGTATAATTGTTATATTGTGGTGTTGGTAACCTACCTTCGTTGTGTTTCTTTTGACTTTGTTATGCTCTGGAAATTGTGAAAATTACGCTCTGGAAATTGTGATAGTACCTGCTCTGGAAATTGTGATAGTACCTGTTCGATTTGTTAAGGAGACGATCTCCCTGTTCATATGTTTGTTATATATGGTAATTTATTATGTAACTTATTTATGTATATTATTCCTTAGTCTCGTATGACCATAGTTGGTACTACAATAAGTGGGTTTCACTTCTAAGCTACCGTATACTAAATTGTTACAGGATCAGAATGTTCGTGAGGAACAGTCACCAAAAGTGAGTTGCTTACCTGCTATGTGTTTTCGTACTCTGGTCTTCACTCAAGTTGCAAAGCTGCAATAAACGTATCGCAAAGAACATTTATATCTGAAAATTGTGTTAGTACCAGTTTGATCAGTTAAGGTGAGGATTGCCTCGATCTGTCGGGTTCAGCTTAACTGCCTAAGTGCCTAGGTCATGAGTAGAACCGAAGGATCAAAACATACTTGCTCGTATCAACTATAAAACATCAATTTTGAGGGATAAGGAAGTGTTTATAGGTTCTGAAACCTAGCTAAATCGATTTTCGTGCAATTTTAGGTCAGAAACAGTCATCAAAATGAGTTAATAAGAAGGTCGATTTCTCGGTTATTTTTGAGCTTTCGTTCAGAAAATAATTCGGGGCCTTCAAAGTAGGGTAACAAGAAAGCGTTACAAGTGTTACAAGCCTTCTATAATACAAAATGTGTATCACCTCTTCAACCCGCCGAACATGTGCTTACCCTAAAAATGTAAACAAATGTGTTTCACCTCCTCAACCCGCTGAACATGTGCTTACTATTAAAGTAAACAAATGTGTTTCACCTCCCCACCAGTATCCACATCTATTAATTGATTAATTAAATTGACAGCACTTACCTGTGATCGCATCTCCTATAGCTAGTGGTTTCTTTAGGTTGATTTTAGGGTTGGTCTCAGGAACTAGTGGAAACAAAAAGTCTGTATTGGGTCCACTTGACACTGCTGGAAACAAAAATCAGAGATGTTAAAACATGTTAGTGGAGGATAAAATGTCATTTAGCTACCACTTTCAAATAGATGTTAAAAAGTCACTTTTACAGTATTGAACTGAAGCAGTATAAGTAAAACGTTGAGAACAAACCGTTTCCTATTGAGAGTAGTAGTGAGACTATGAATGATGTTAGTACTATTCGTAACATGGTGTCCCTCTCGAGCTCAATAAATACTTGACAAGTTCTTAACACATTGATCTCCTGTTAATACAGTTCAATTTACTCAAACCTATATTTTGGTCATCCTAGTGATATATTTACAAATTGCAAGTCAACTTAGATAAGTTACTCCGATAAGCAGAAAAGTAATGAAGTCCCACAGACTAAGATGGAAAAAGTGGGGGGGGGGGGGGGGGGGGAACTCCGGGTGCCTATAAACTCAACTTAGAATTAAGGAACGGGGCTATGGCGAGTCCTACAATAGGCAAAGTGGAGAGCAAACAATGGGGAGAAGGTGAGCATGCGTTGGGGAGAGCGGTTAAACGAGGGCAGTATCCAAGCATGCATATTCAGTAGGTAAGTATTAAGTAAAGCTTGCGTCTGTAGAGGCAGTAAACCTAGCGGAGGTAGGATGAAAGGAGTAAAAGAGGTTAGACTGTTTCATATATTAAGATCATGTAAATTTGAATACAGGATGAGCTGACCATCTATGCGTGTGGATCGATTACGGAAATTAGGCATTATCTAAGTTCACAAGATGCTTCGTGGTTAGGGAGCTTTTCGGGGTGAGAACTCGAACAATACCATCATTACACAGATGTCAAATCCCCTATATTCTGCTTCTCACCGAGTCGACTTCAGATTCCAGAATAGTTAGACGTTAGTTCACCAAACATAACAAAAAAGGTGGTTTAAATGTGACAACCATTTCATGTATCTAATTTCCTTATACAATGTAGTTTATTAGGACTGATAGAGTGATAAATAAAATGTAACAACAAAAACATTTTTACCGTAAATATTGGCCGGAGAGCTTAGCAGTACATGGCATGCGCCATGCAATACAAGAATAAAGGTGAGGGATCGTGAATGGTGCAGATAAAGATCATTTAAAGATTTAATGATATCATGCTCACAAAATACTAACAGCCCAACAGGCAACATACCTAAAATAATGATCCCACTCGTGAATTTTAACGATTGGGATCGTCAAAATTCACGAGAATTTCTGACTGGACCAAATTTTATTACTGAAAGTTTATCATCTTCGTAAAAGCCATATTCTGTAAATTTGTATAACGTTAACTAGTTAACTGAACAAAGGAACACACAGTGCTGTTAGGAAATAGTGCAAGTATAACTATAAAGGGTGCGCACAAGATATTCTATGTGAGTTTTAATCGTTTCCTATATAACCGCGTCATTCTATTTGGGCCTTGGGGGGGGGGGGGGGGGCATTTTATTGAATATATTTGGCCCATTTGGTGATCAGGACCGAACTGTTAAGAATCTTTATCGCCTCTTCCAGGGATCCTACAGTCTAAGTCAGCGTCCCTCATAAACATAAGAAACAGTCAGGTGGTTTAAATGTGACAACCCTTTCAGAGAACACAAGATCGGGTAATGAAGAGTTGAGAGAAGCTATAAAGAATTCCGCTGGTTTTAGAGTCTGGCTACTCTTCTTCTTCGTCATGGCCAGCTGCTGTCTTCTCTTCTTGGATTGGTATAATTGAGTTGTTCAATAGGGTTTTAAAATTTCTGTTTTTCTAGTGAAATAATGGGGTATTTTAAATTATTTGCCGTGTTGTGCCTTTAGGTATTTATAAATTTAAAAAATAAAATACGTTGTTCCAGTCTTAGTCTTATGTGTGTAATTTAGTTTTTGATCTAATAAAGTATGTGCTCTCATCACTTTGACTATCTAGAGATTTTGCAGTTCTTTGTACAGATATTGACGGTTTGGTTTAATTCAATTTCAGTCTGAATAGTGAATATTTTACAAGTTTGCCTTCTTATTGCAGTTAATATTCAATCCTAAATTCGAAAATCCTTTACATTGATTATCTATATTATGCTATGACACCATACGTTTTCAATAGGTATTTTTACTGTACTTGTATTTTCTAACCTTTATTCTTAGATAGGAAATGTAATTTTGTCTAACTCTCACTCGGGACGGAAGTGTTATTACCAGATAGTCTGGTAGCTTCACTAATGGAAATACGCTGAAATGCAGGTAGTTTACGATATCATTCAATTCCATATTTTTAACTTCTATTCTGAAACTTAGTGACATTAGTCATTGAAATCTCTCTATAAGTAACTCTTTATACCGTGAACATGTATATGCCTTGCTCATTCTTTTTCTCTAATCCGTGTTTGGTCAGTTCGTGCGTGAGGAAAGTTACAATTAACTTAAAACAAAGTTTAGATTAGATAACAAAATAATTGGCTTTAAATACGATACAATCGTATATTTCAGCGTCAAAACTGAATTTTAAAATCAATATTAATAATATAATGATATTTCTAGCGTCACAAAGAATAGCTGCATCATTGTTTCTCTTAGAACATGATTGAGTCTGCATATCGTAATTACAAAGATTCAATAATTGTATTTGATTAGCCTAGCATGAAAGTGGTCATAGTATATTAAGGTTAAGAAAAATGAACTACGCTGTAAAATCCCTGTGCTGTACCCATGGCCATTGCTCTGTGAGGAATTATTCTCCCCATCATCATTATCATCATTATCATCATTATCATCATTATCATCATTATCATCATTATCATCATTATCATCATTATCATCATTATCATCATTGTCCTCTAATTCATTCTCCAGAACCCCATCTCCCTCATTACAGTTCATCAGTAAGACCTGATCTACCTCTCTCGTCCTCAGATCGTCCTCACACCGCTTCAAAAACTCATTTTCACACGGAAACACCTGTTTTATAATCTTATACAGCTCATCATCGTAGGTTTCTAAAACCTGCTTGGTAGCAACATGATTGTGTACCCCGTTAGAAGGATCTGAGAAGGCATTGACATTAAACCAACTCTGTACACCCTCTGCAAAGTACTCCTGCGCGTTGCTCATAGCGTAGGTGTTAGCCCAGATGGTGCCTCCTGACTTCCGGTCATTGTACCACTTTTTGAGGTTGTTCTCCCAGTTGGAGATGGCGTATTTAGCACCGAGCAGTTCCACACCGTGCGCTAGTTCGTGGAGGAAGATGTCCTCGTTGTAGTATCGGTCGTTTGAGTAGCACATTATGTTCTCCTCAGCACCTGGGAGGAGAAAGTTCAGTGGTAGTGGTAAGGTCTATACGCCAGTTTCACTGTAAAAGTGCACTAAAAAGGTACACAGAACAGGGACAAAAGGATTTCGCGGCATGTACGAAATCGCGAAATTTCCCATTCTCCGCGACAAATTTTATGTGTAGTTTAATGTATAGCCTGTTAAATTTCGCGGTACCGCGAAATTTGGCCAAAATAATCGCGAAATCCTTTTGTCCCTGACACAGAATGTGAAAGTAACACACCTGTAGAAATAGGCCAGGCCTCCGTGGCCCCCAGCCCTCTGGCCCTCTCGTCCCAAAAGGCGGGTTCCAGCCAGCTGTGTTCAGGAATGTCAGTAGTGACCTCCGTATCAGCCATCACCCCCACTCTCCCGTGTTTCTTGTAAAACCACTCCCTTATCCCGGAATGGTCTGCTAACATGAATCTCAGCACGTAGCAGGCTCTCTTCAGTGCGTCGTCTGGGACTATACTTGAGGAAACAACGGGTATACCGTATGTTTCTGTGTACTTCTGATAGTGGGACGTGAGACCTTCAGGAGCCATCTGAGCGGAGGATCTCAGTGAGGAGGGAACCTCTCTGATGGAGCTGCAGGAGTTGGTGGTGGTGGGGATGCCAGGTCTGTCCGCTGCTCGCCGGGAGCGGGAGAGAGGGGTGTGGTCAGAGAGGGACTGGTATGTGGAAAATGTTTGTGGAATGTGGTGGGAGAGGGAGACTACAGCAAGGAGGAGGAGGCATAGGGTGGTTTGTAACATTCTAGGATAGAAGTTATTAAAGTCAATTTTCAGCACAAGTATAAGTTCTAATAGTAATACGTGTGCCAAGTAGTTCATAAAGCACGCACTCAGTTCAAACGTATCATTTATCAAGCAATGTAAATGTACGCTATACAATATCTGCGTAAGGCGTGAGTATCGTATTCCTCTATACATTCCACTATACATTCCATAGTGTATACTGTATAGTCTATATATGTTGCATTGTGGCTTGTGCACAGAAAGAGATGCTGCTTCCAATGACCACTGTACTACTCAGTTATATGGAAAGGTGGCTACTAAAACAAAGGTACGTATTAAAATTTCAATGAACCGAAAGAATGTGGATGTTTTTTATTTCAAATGGAACACAAATTGGCTGTAACTCATACGTTAAGGGCTAGTTAAACAGAATACAGAAGTCTCGTTGTAAAATGGTCAGATGTTAGTCGGTAGTCCACACATTAACAAGATGATACTATAATACAATTACAGGAACTGGCTAACGTCATATCGTCATGATTTAATGATATTTAATGATATATAAATATCATTACATATCATTAACTCGTCACTGCTGACCTTTATATTATTTTAACATCCACCGCTTTGCCGCGAGGTGGCTAAAAAATATATCATTCAGAACGATTAATGGTGAGTGGAAGGAGTAGGGATAGGAAGTTAACTACAATTGCTTCGTGTAATAAAAGATAACAGGCACAGGCGCTCCTTCACAAATGTCCGCAAACGACACGCATACGATTATTACATATACACTGTACACTCAATACAGGGTGTTCCACATAAAATGTGCCTACCTCAGTCCCCAAATATTTGTGTCAAAACTTTGGGCTCAATTAATTTGAGTACCAAAAATTTGGACTTGAATTTGTTTCCCAACAAATTTGGTTACAAAAATTTTGGTTACCATAATTTTAGTCACAAATTTCGCAAATTTTTAGTCTACAACGATTTTAGTCACATTTTTCGACTTTTCGAGACCATTTCCCATTCCATTTATTTAATCCCATTCCAAGTCATACTTTAAAGTTTAACTGCATGATGATAAAATGATTTGTTGCAATAAAGAAATTAAACAAATAATTTGTAAAATAAAATGCAGTTACTGTTAGCGATATTTAACGGTTTATTATAACATATAGGTAGTGATATAGCAGCAGTTTTAAAGGCTAAATTCTAGAGTTAAACTAGATGCAGATACTGCCTGATGGGAAAAGGAAGTAAGATAATGTGAAAGCATAAAAGCTGTGGATTACACGTGTAATAGTCAAAGTAGTTCAGCAGTAGGAACGGTGATGTCATTATATTGATTATAAACAATGTAAGCTCACTAATATTTGTCATCAGTCATCAGTCATATACGCTCTACTGAAATTTTGGTCTACTTTTAAATTAGTCGCCGAACAATTTAGTCTCAATAAATTTGGTTTACAACAATTTTAGTCAAAATTTTGACTAAATTTATAGCAGACTAAATTTGTCGTTCTTAAGGTGTTTGTCGACGAAAAATTTGGGCAAAAAATGTTGCTCTCTTGTTTATAATTTTGTATAGAAATTTAATATCCTCTTGCTCACAACAGCATCCCATCTAGTGACCAATACTTGAACTTGAAGGAAGCTATCGTGATCAGTGATGTTATTCTGTTAAGTTTATATAGTTATTAGTTATAATTATATTATGTATTATGTACATTAAATTATCTGCTTTAACGTACCATATGTATAAATTTCAAACTGAAAACTGACATATTTATTTGTATCACCAAATATTAATAGTTTTAATTTGAATTGACCATAAACCTTAATACCTTTGTACATAAGGAAATGAAGATAGAGCGTGATTCTCAAAATAAGATGGAAGCACCTGAAGCGAAGCTGTGTTCATCAAGAGAAGAGACTGAAGACAAGCCAGACACTCTATCTGGAGACGAGTCAATCAGAAAACGGAAATTAAGGCTAATAGCAATTCTCCCCGCAATTATAATACTAATAGGACTGATAATTCTAACTCGTTTCCGTAACATCCTTCCGACAACCATGAGACCTTTTGATTTGGAAGATAAGCGAATAAATCACGCGGAGAAACCCTACACAATCAGCGGCGCTCTGAATGTTACTATCGGCTCTTTGTCTGTGCTTTTCTTCACAATCATGTGGTTTGTGTGTGAAGGCAGACTTCAGAAACCAGTGTATAGAAAAAACACTATAAAGGTCCTAGCGACGGTTTACTTTACCATGCTGGGGGCGTGCTTTATGATAGTTTTAGTGAACTCGACGAAGAATGTGGCTGGACATTTGAGGCCTTATTTCATAGCTGCATGTAAACCAAATGAAACTTTGGTTGACGAGTTGAAGTCTCGTGGGACGACCTGGGTGGACGAAAACATGTCCGAGGTAATTTGTACAAGCAAAAGAAGTCAGAAGTACAGATGGTCTTTCCCTTCGGGGCACAGTGCAGAGGTAAATATCATATAGATAAAATGAAATGTTTTATTCCGTTGGTCAAGCTCATTTTATACATAACTATAAGGACATTACCTGCATTATTTTTACTGCGTGTTTAACGGAATTTTGGGGGTTATAATCACGTTCGCCATTCTTACCATTTCATTCGGTTACTCAGAAAATTGAGAAGACAGCTGTCTCTATCGCTTTACTAACCATTCTTTCCCTCAGGCTTGGTACGCTATGACGCTCTCGATTCTTCTCGTCCAGTACACCCAAAACATCGCCGACAAGTACGCTGAATTTCGCTTACTCATTTTGCCCGTTAAAGCGACACTACAATTCCTCTCGTTTACGTTTGCCAGTGCGACTTGCATTTCGAGGACTTATGACTACCATCACCACTGGTGGGACGTACTGGCGGGAAGCCTGTTCGGAGTACTGGTAGCTGTTGTGATATTTTACTGGTTTTTAAAACCAGTAATGGAGAGCACAGACAAGCCGCCAGTCCCTCAAAAAACTCCACGGTGTGAGGAGATAGCTTTAGTTCCCGTTTAGATTTGGGCAAAGAAAGCATGGTTATATTAGTTTGAGGTACTGACGACTGACGAGTTCCTTAACTAATACGTTACTTCTAAAGTAACTATTACTACTACTACGAGAACTAATGTCCAGTGTGAGAAAGTGCGGGGCTGTTGTGGCGATGATAAAACCAAAAAGAAGCAATACTGAATGCGCAAAGTTCAACGTTGAAATCAATAAAAAATCTACCAAATATCGAGGTATTAAGACAACCACTTACACTCAGGCTTGGTACGCTATGACGCTCTCAATTCTTCTCGTCCAGTACACCCAAAACATCGCCGACAAGTACGCTGAATGTCGCTTACTCATTTTGCCCGTTAAAGCGACACTACAATTCCTATTGTTTACGTTTGCCAGTGCAGTGCGACTTGCATTTCGAGGAATTATGACTACCATCACCACTGAGGAAAGCATGGCTATATTAGTTTGAGGTACTGACGATACCAAATATCGCAGTAAAAACAAAACACGGAACCCTTTTTGAGTTTTAACAGACGATTCACCAAAATGGGTCGAATATGAAGAGATTCCCGCGAAACTCACACTGGTGAACAGCTTAGACCCTTTCTAAGTTCTAAATGAAAATCTTTATTATTGCCTGACATCAGCTACCCAGAGAGAACATTATGGAACTCCTCGGAATATGACTAACTGTGATGCTCGGAACAAGTTTAGTTTTCCCTCTGATTTTAGTCCCGTCCGAAAGTTAATATGATTAAGAACAGACCCATATAAAAGTTTAACTTAAAGTAGCACTGCACAATGCAATGTATAAAGTATTCATTTTTGAGGTATTTGATATTTTGGATGCTCTATTTTCTTGTGAGAGTTTTTGCTTTACATTATACTTCACTATAAGTATTCACTATAAAAGATCATACAAGAGATAATTTCAGTTCTGTGCATGTTTGTCGACGGTTTGGTTTCATTCTATTTCAGTCTGAGTTAAAATTAGAATTTTATAACCTCCATTTTAAGATAAGAAATGTGAAAAGTGATTTTTTTTCTAACCCTCACTCGGACGGAAGTGATAGTTTTATCACTGGAATTTTATAACTTCCATTCTTAGATAGGAAATGTGAAAAGCCATTTTGTCTAACTCTCACTCGGGACGGAAGTGCTAGTGTTATTACCAGATAGTCTGGTAGCTTCACTAATGGAAATACGCTGAAATGCAGGTAGTTTACGATATCATTAAACTAGAAACGTTTTAACTTATACGAGCTGATGATAGGGTTCTTAGGGCTTAGGCTGAGCCGACTTATCAAGACTTGCAAAAAAAAGTACAGGGTGGGCCAAAAGTCAGTACCCATACGTTGGCCTTTATAGCTCAGTCACTGAGTGCCCAATTTAAATACTTTTTTCTGGTATGACTTAGTACCACCACTGGTTCGAGGAATTTGTCAACTCGAAAAATATTCGCGTTCATTTTTTTCAAATGTAGGTTCATTTTCACATTTATTTGATAGTTTGGATAGTCGGATCAAGCTAAATGTTATTGAATTGTGTTTGGCCATTCGAATTACGTTTGTCCTGAAAGAATTAGAACTGTAGCTTCTCAGATGACCGAGATATGAAGCATAACGAGTTTATTCATTACGTGTGATCAGGTGATTGGTTTACCTAATCAATTGATAAGTTGCCCCCATTAACTACCCCGTTAAACATTATGGGAATTGTTAAGGGTGCCCAATTAAGGTGTCGTGTCACGGTGTCACATAATCACCCAGTCAATATTGTTAACGAGATACAGAAAATGCTTGATAACTTCGTCATTTCTAATCCGTTTTGCCTCATGTTTTCAGATCATATGCAACATTTGATAATGTACCGTCTCTGAAAAAATTAGGCGTTCAGCATGTTCAGAGAAAACAATATAGGTGTTTTAATATTGAATGGGCGTGGTCTAAAATATTCGAATTTTCAAATTTTGACGACGGAATCCTCGAACCAGTAAGTACAGTATGCCATCTGCAAAGCAACAGCTCTCAAATATAAAACACGGCGAAGCTATTAAGGCCAACGTATGGGTACTGACTTTTGGCCCACCCTGTATAATACTGATTTTCAGTTCTAGACTCTAGAGTGATCTTGTAATTGTATAGTATACTCCCCAGGCCAGAGCACGGCAAGCAGTCAAAGCGTTCGACCTCCTCCCAGTCCTAGACTACAAGTCTCCAGCTGGAAAACCTTCCTGTGTCACTGTAGCTGGTAAATAGTCACGTGATCTGTTTGCACGTGCAAACTTAAACGGAAGATATTTTCACGCGAAGAAGATGAATATTTTGCATGATGTTTTATTATTTTATTCATAAAGTGCAAACCATTCACTTGTAAACTTCTTCGTACTATTTATCATGCCATTTAAAACATTCTTACCACCAAATAACACGTGACAAATAACACGTGCCTAATAACATGTGCCAAATAACACGTGACAAATAACACGTGACTACTAACTTAACACGTGACCATTCCAGGAAATGATGTGTACGTGGGGTATACGTCCGGACATGTCCGTCACTTCCTGGTGTCCTCCTCCACCTCCGCTAGTGGTAGGACCAAGTACCAAGTCCGATACTTGGACGAGATGATAGGTGGGTTTTTTGTTAATCGTTTAATAATTATATATGAATAATGTTGTTTTTGATACGATAAGTTTAGAGACGATTGCAAATTTGAAACTGTCAATTTTTACAATCTTAACTTAAATTTAAGAAAATGAGTTAATACAATAATTTTAACATGTAAAACTTCTCCAGGAAGCTCCAAGAAGTCAATATCCAAGATAGTAGTGGCTCCAACTATAGCCAGAATTATTGGTCTTGCAGAAAATCAGGTAAACTTAATGAGAAATTGAGATGATCTCGTCCCTAACTTATACACAATACTAGCCCCCATTCTTAAAGACGAACTCACTGCTAACAATTTGACCCTCTATATAACAATTTCAGGTGTTTGTAGGTGATATGTTCAGTATGGTGGGTGCCCAGACTTATGGCAGATCAACCCCCAAGTCTGTTACTTTTATATCTGTTAACGAAGCTTCCACTTCTTACGATCTCGAGGTAAGAACAAAGATTAACGTCAAAAGTTTGATAGATAAAATGCAATTTAGCACTTTTGCAAGCCAAAAAAACTAAAGTCACTCTTTGCGGCTCTTCAGAACATCACAAAAAGTAGATTTCAATTCCCAAATTCCCCAACTTTGTCCCTCAACTTTGTTCCCAGATATTCCCCAACTTTGTCTCCAGATAATTCCCCAATTCGCAACTTTTCCCCAGATATTCCCCAACTTTGTCCCCAACTTTGCCCCCAGATAATTCCCAATTCCCCAACTTTGTCCCCAGATATTCCCCAACTTTGTCCCCAGATATTCCCCAATTCCCCAACTCTGTCCCCAATTCCCCAACTTTCTAACTTTGTCTGCCCAGATAGCGGTGTGCCAGGCCCGTAAGAAGAGCGTGTTGCTGATGATGGTGACCGCAGAGAGGTTCATCACCAAACAAGAGATCAGTAACCTACAAGCTGTCCCTCAAAAGGTGCTCTGGCATGGTTCCGTTCTTCTTCTCGCTTACGAAGGGTGCGTCTAGTTGTCAAATTTCGCACCTTCTCTGCCAAAAGTTACGTTTCATGTAGTTAGGATGAGAATTACGCAAGATACACACACGCAAGATGTACATTTCTAAGTATAACATGAAACACTAGAAACTGGCTCAAATTGAGGGGCTTGTACGATACTGGTTGCGAGAGAAATGTGCACTTACTTTTATAATTAGAGTAACTTCTTACCTTAACCTAATCTAAGATACCCCTCTAACACCCTGCTAACACCTTTCTAACACCTCTCTAACACCCCTTTCAGATACTACTCAGTGTACGACCTGATGTCCCGTACAGAGTTAGAACTGTTTCCCTACAACACCACCACTACCTCCCCTCTGATGAAGACACTGGGCGAGGGTGAGATATACATGAACGGAGACGGTCTTGGTATGATCATCAACGAGTCAGGTTTGTTCTGGGAGGGGGGGGGGGCAATGGCATAAAATGGCATAAATGGAGAATTACTCAAGGTAGGGTGTTTCCATTTTCTCCATAGAGAAGTCTCCATTGTATGCCATTTTATGCCATTTTATGTCATTTAAAAACTAAAAAATCTAAAAACGCCATTAAAAAAGATTTATTAGATTTAATTTTAGATATCACAATGTAGTCTAAATTTAACGAGGAGAAAACGTAAATTTATAACGTTTAATAACAGGAGGTGATAATTAATGATTGTCAAATTGTGATTAATTGTGATTGTTTTATTAACTTTATTTCTGACTTCAGGTGATGTTTGCCGAGCTCCAATAGCGTGGATAAACCAACCAAAGTTCGTGTGTTACTCTAAACCTTACATAGTCGGCATATCACAATCCTCGATACAAGTTAGTAGAATATAAAAACAAGTTGTCTTTTCTAACATTAAGATATGGGAATTTTCGTAATTTTCTGGAGAAAGTACTGCAAAGCATTCATTTTTACGTTCACAGATTTCAACTTGAATGAATAATTTAATTAACCATATAGACTCGTCACTTCTATGTTTTGAATAAAGTTAACTATCAGGTTTACAGTCTGATAGACCAACAGCTGAAACAAAAGTCAGGGTTTAACGACGCTATGTCAGCTGGGGATTTCGCTGGGAACATCTTCATAATCACGGAGGAACAGGTAATTTATTATGTGTTGGATTAGTGATCACATCGATATAGGGTCTTACACAAACTATTGAAAGCCATACCCTTTCCTCGGAGTAAAAACGTATGAAATTTTAGAATGAACAGCTCTAACGATTATAAACTTTAGGAAAAACGGATTTGTTGTTCAAATGTAGACCCCAGAAGCTTTTATGATCAGCGCTCATCAGCCACACTAAAGATAAAATACGAAAACAATTGTGAACCAATAGAAACGATTGTGCAGGTCATCAAGTATACAGTTAACACTTCAGATCTAACACCTTTATAACACCTTTATAACACCCTGCTAATAACACTTCAGATCTACATGTTGTTGCCAGTTCCGGCAGAGGAGCAGGTTGAGAGACTGTTAGACTCCGGGAACTTGGACCAGGCCATGGCTCTGGCGGAGGAGACACTTGGTAGTCTGACTCGGAGTAAAAGCAGCCGGCTTAAGGCCCTTAGGTGTGTAGTGTGAATTTTTTTACCAAGTTATCTCTTGAGTCTTGACCCATGATATTTGTTTGGGAATTTAACGACAGATCCATCACTCATGAGGATAATTTACTATTGAATTTAACAAACAAAAAAAACATTTGAAAAAAAACAACATGGAACTAAACAGAGTACACCGCCTCCCCTCAGACAGCGAGCAGCTAACCAATACTGGACACGGGGGGATCTAGAGGAAGCGTTCAGTCTCTTCACTAAGACTCATACCCCACCCGCTAAGATATACTGTCTGTATGATACCTTGTTTACTGCTACCACTGCGGGGGTATCTGTTGCTGGGTTACCAGAGGTATCTGTTGCTGGGTTACCAGAGGATAAGATGCGAGATTATCACGTGTTTCTACTTCAGTATGTCAGTAAAACTGGTGAGATACATCCTAAATTCTTATTCCTCTTTTTCATATCATGTTCTCTATGAATCTTGTATGCTCCACGATGGAATAGTTTGACAAATAAATAACCTTTCCCTGGTTTTCCACTTTAATTATATTGCTTCCGCAGGAGTAAGTTTGACAAATAAATAACCTTTCCCTGGTATCACACTTTAATTGCTTCCGCAGGAGTAAGAACTGAGGAACTGAATACGATAGAGTTCAAACTGGTAGCTCTCACAGACCCGGATAAAATACTTGATCTCTTGAAGGAAAAGAGACCTATGGATATGAAATGCGTTGTCAGCTTCCTTAAAACGGAGGGATTTCTCTACATGGTAATCTTAATAAGATTTAAACCTTTGCAACTAAAATTAGGTCGTTAATTCTGACCATGATCACTGATCAATCAAGTTCACAAACTGCCTCCCCCCTCCATAGCTATTGTGTTAAAATTATACTAGGGTAAACATTTAGCAACCCCGGCCCCTCCTTCCCCCTCAGTGATTACGTATTAATATGTGAACGACCCCTCTAAAACCCTCTACAACCCTCTAAAACCCTCTAAAACCCTCTAAAAATCGTTTCAGCTGGGGGTGTACTATGCTAGTTGCGGGTTCGTAAGTGAAGCAGTGGACCAGTGGCGGGAGTTGGAGGAGAGTGAGATGCAGACACGTGACCCACGATACCCCGGCCTCAGATGTATCGTGGACCTCCTTCTATCTACTAATATCCAGGTCATTACATACAGCAGACTCACAGAGAGCAATACGTGAGAGTTAAAAATTGCAAACCACATTACGCAGGGCACTATAAATAAAGCAGGTCACAGCGCTGCTTCTCCGAGGATATAGAACTGTCCTAAAAATACAACAGAGACTTGAACATAACACCTTCACACACAAAGGGATTGTATTTTCTTTACCGAACTTGATTGATAAATCAATCCGGCTTAATACACAAAGTTTTTACGCACCTAGATGAGAACCTCAGCTCTTCGCAATACCATTCAATCGTTTATGTAACTCAGACAACATGAACCGAGCGTGCTAAATCACTCTAGAGTCGACCTCCGAGATTTTTCTAAAAGGGCCACTGACAGTTGACATCTACCCGATTCGATGTATTTTCGAACGCTGATTCCGAATCACCCCACATGACATAGGGTTAAAATGCTCCCCTAGCGAGATATAGGCGAAAAACTGTCTCGATCACGTGATATGACCATATACGGAAGTTGGTATAATTTCACGTTAGGGTTAGGGTTTCAGCGTATGCTTCAGTTAGGGATTGGGTTAGGGTTAGGGTTGGGATCAGATTAGATGGTTAGGGTTTCGAATAGTCATCCAGAGCCATCTAGAGGACGTGTTTAAAAAGTAACGTGACAGTCGATTGTAGAGTGATTAATCATCATCCAACATGAACAGCATCTCTGACATAATGACCGGTAATGAGCGCTTCCCAAACACACAAGGATATATCTTGTGTTCTTGGCTAGTATATATTAAACATTTGACACGGAGTTGCGGAGTGAGCTATGTGCCTCGGCCCTCGCCGGGCTAAAGTAGTGAATGTCCTTGCTGTACGGCAAGTCAAACAAGGAATTGAAACTACTAGGTTCCGTACAGACTCAACTCTACACCCATGTCAATATGTTCATATGTAAGCCTCTTGATTATATAATTATAGAATTTACCGGGGCAGTCCTCATATTGTAGAAACGAGAATTACTGAAAACAAAGAAGTCTCTAGAAAAACACTTGCCCACGTGACACACAGTGAAATACATCAACACTATTTACAACTATATCCACTTTTACTTTTTTACAAAAAGGTGGATGGAAAAATTGATATAATCACTACTGAGACACGTGCTAATTCCACACGTGCTAATTTCAGGCGGTGATAATGAGTAACGTAGAGTGGCTGATATCACGTGACCCAGACCGGACCCTCCACCTCCTCGTGTCAACCTCTGCTGAACTGAACAACGACCATATCCTCAACCTCCTGGTTGAGAGGCCTCTACATATTGTAGCCTTCTTGGAGGAGCTCGTAGTAAGTGTGTTTTGTTATTCTTTATATCAGTGCTTACTGTTTGATTCTATATTTTAAGTGTTCAATTGTGATTAGTAAACACGGGCTGTGGGGAAGGAAACCATCGCGATAAATCGTTGTTAACGATAATACCGGTATTGATTGTTAATATAAATAATTTATTGAAGCCGCCATTTGGGAGAAAGGAAATGGCAGTAATAAATCGAGACGGGATAAATTGGTACGCAGTAAAACGGGTTCAACAGTGAAAATTTCGTGTCCAAAGTTTTCCTCTTCTCTGAACAGCGAACACTACCACTACAACTACCACTATTATTAACACTTCAAATACCACACTCCCAGATAAACCAAAGAACTGATATAAACCGCTACCACACCCAGCTAGCGCAACAGTACCTGACCTTGTTGCTGTCACCACACACCACCAGGCAGAGAGCCCTCCTTCTTCGCAAGAAACTTCAGGTGGGCGAAATTGAGATACCTAATATCTAATAATTTGATAGAGTTAATTTCCTTGAAGGCGGTCTAATTGAGATATCTAGTAGTTTGATAGAGTTCATTTCTTTGAAGGCGGTCTAATCTAGATATTGTTAAAGAGCTATAGACAGAGTTTAACGAGTTAAAAAAGTAAGATATCCTTAAATGTATGCGCATTACGGAAGCTGAAGCTCTAAAAGCGTGGTGAGGTAATCAGGTAATGATACAAAAATGTTTGCAATATAATTATACCTCAATCTGTTAAAATGTATTTTAACAGATTGTGTGTAATGTAAATTTTGGGGCCGTAAGTGACACGTTTATTTATCCCGTACGTGGGGATCATTTCGAACTTTTGTTAGTTGCGGTCCCTGTCAGTCGATTATTTTCATAATCGATTTGCCTTGTTTCACTTTGTCTGTCGTGAGCCATGGTACTCTTTACTAAACACTACAATGTTAAAAAATCACGCTCGTGTTACAAGATCTATCTTAAAAATTTGACCAAAATTGTTTAACTTCATTTGCTGTTTTGTTTTACAACTTCGTGTAAAAGGTTGTAATTAACCAAAAAATTTGTCGCTTTTGTTAGATCACAATTTTTAGCGGTTCAACACAAGTATTCACAGTTTAATCGTCCAAATTGGCATAAACATTAACAACGTACAGTTTCACCTATTTTTCATAGAAAACAAGTATGAAAGATAATTTCCTAGGCTTGAAATGGTCGTTATGACGCCTGATGTTGAGAACTCCTCGAGCACCAGCAAAGAAATAAAATCTTCTGAAGATGAAAGAGCTGATGAAAAGAGTGTTGAGATGACGTTAGAGGAGCTTCTTCAAGGATTGGGTCTAGGAAAAGCACACTTTTTAATTTGGAGCTTGCATTTCTTAACAGCGACGATGTATCTGATAGTTTATTTCAAGACCACCATTCTTATTCCTTACCTTCGGTGTGAATGGGGATTGGACTCAACTTTTGAGGCAGCAATTGGGTCCGTTTATACAGTTTTTGTCGTCCTGGGTGGAATATCCTTTGGCAACCTGGCTGACAAATATGGAAGGAAGACCATAGTTCTAGCAACATCACTGGTAATGATTCTCGGATGTATCCTAGCTGTAGTTTCGCCAAATAAATGGGTATTTTTGTTTGCTCGTGTTATCCAAGGAGCTTGCCATGGAATAGGCTTTCCTGTAATTTTTGTCTTTGCGGCTGAAATTGCTAGCTCCGAATTCAAAGAACTGGCGATCTTCTTGATTTATATGGGTGCTCAACTGGGTGGGGTATTCTTGTCGGTGATGTCCTACTTGGTTCTCAACGAGATTGGCTGGCGATATTTGATTGCAGTTGTTTCGGCCCCCTTAGTCATTGTTGTCATTGGTCTTCTCCTGACCCCGGAGACTCCACGCTTCCTTCTGGTGAGCTCTAAGAAAGAAGAAGCAATGTTAACAATCAAGAAATATTACAAATGGAATGGCAACTCTTTTCCAGAGGGCTGTTCTGGGCTCTTAATGCACAAAACCGAGAAAGGAGGGCAGTTTTTGGGGCTTTTCCGCCATGGCCTTGGTAGGCTAACTGTTCTCCTGTCCACTATATTTTTTGCCAATCTTTACATCTGGTTAGCATTTGCTGCCTACTTGCCCCTTGCTTTGGACAAGAACGCAGAAAAGGAAAACTTAACATCAGATAACGGGAAATGTGGGAACAGTCTTGATCAATCTGCCCTTATTGGTGTTGTGGTAGCTTTCCTGGGTGATGTGGTCGGGTGCACTTTTGCTGCCATTTCTAAGAAAAAGTTGGGAAATGTTGGCAGAAAGGTTGTGTTTAGAGGGCTAGCTGTGGTGGTGTTGCTTGCCACTATTCCGGTCTTCTTTGATCTGTCAAAAGTTGTTACCGATATCTTGAGCATGGTTCTCCGTTTCTCCGTCACTGGCTTGAGGTACTCCTTCTGGCTGCTTTCCATTGAGGACTACCCAACTGTACTGAGGGGAACTGCTTCAGCTTTTACACATGCTATAGGGAACGTTGGAGGTACCCTGGGGTCACTACTGACGTATGTGCTATTTCCTGTTAGTCCGGTGGTAGTGGTTGGGTTATTTGTTGGGATTGCTATGTTGCAGCTTGTAGCGTCAATTCTTCTTAGAACTGGGAGGAAGAATAATTTGGCTGATCATACAGGGGAAGGTGATTGAATGGTAATTGCAGACATGGTTCCTTTTTAAAATTCATAGACTTGGCTATTGGTTGAAGTGAGTTCTTGCCCTTGAAGACGATAAATACTGTTTATTGGTCAGCAGTCAGTAAAGTCTCTTCCAAATTTTCAAAGGTTCAAATGTAACAATATAACAACTCGATTAGTCAATCAATAGGAGACTTTTGGGATTCTCAATGTCAAAAGAAGAACAAATGACGATAATAATCATTTCCGCAATGTGATGTGATAAGATAATATTAAGTATTATGTTATGGGATGGAAGTATTTTACCCAGGTGGAGCCAGTCCACACCCTGGCTTCATAATAAGATAATATGAAGAATTTGTTCTTATTCTAGATAAAAAGCTCGAATATATTTAAATCGTTGATTAATCAGTATAATCTTATCTTTATATTCTGTGCACTGAATAACTTCAAATCAATTCTGGGGAATATGAGGCCTATAATGATGTTTATAATTCGCAAGAAAAACCACAGTAGCAATCGCCAGTGCCCCAACAATAACAACACCAAAACCTATGAAAATATCAGATAATCTCCCTGAATATCCGGGGTAATCACACTCCCTTGATCCTGGCTCTGAAACCTGTCCTTTCAAACACTTCCTACACTCGTCCCGGAAATAGAAAGTGTTCCGAGGACACGGTTCACAGTGAGTAGATATTGTGGTCACAAACCCTGTCCCTGCTGTACAGTGTCTTTTAAAGGTTATCCTGAAGGGTATTGTTGTGTACTGAAGGGTTTCAGGGTCTCCTATCCCACACTTCCATTGTTCTGTTCTGCTTCTTGCGGTGCTTGGAACTGACGTGTCTGATAATGTTAGGTGCATCTCGTACGTTTCTGGGCTTGCTCCTTTTGTGATTGAAATGTTACCTTTTGTTGCGGAGATATTATTTTTAGTGTAATAAACAACTTCATTGTTCAAAACTTCTATAAAGTAAAAGTCTGAATTTGTCTCATTCACTAAAAATAACTGCTCGACAGTTATCCTGCAGACAGCACTCGCATTACCATTCTCTTCTGCTTCTAAGTTAGGTACCTCTATCCCAAAACACTGACTTGATCCAGGTCCTGATACTTTCCTTCTCGGACAGCTTGTACAAACATTATGTTTCGGAAATGTGTTCTTAGGACAGGTGGTGCACTGTGAAGCACCAGGAGTTGTCATTCCTGTACCCGAGGGACATGACTTGATGACTGGTTACTGTGAAGGGGGCAGTTGTGAATATCTTGGTTATGGGATCTCGAACCCCACACTTCCAACTATGTGTCACGTTTTTCAGATTGTTTGGAATTGATATTGCTGACAGGTCCAATGATATTCTGTAGGTTCCTGCTACGGTATCGTTTATTTTTATCCTGTCAGAGATGTTTTCAGCAGTGTAATACACTTCCTCATCCTTAAAAATGTCGATAAGGTACAGAATCGCTATGTTTTCTCCTGGAGACCCACCGAAAGTGATGTCGCAAGTTGCGACCAGTTCTTCCTTTTCTACACCCGTAACATCACCAGTCTCAATAGACACCCGATAAAAAGTATGAGATTTGTCCTCCACCTTACACTTAACTGAACTATAAGAGGAAGAGTTAAGACTGTGGACAACAGTGAACAAACTGCTAAGCTCTCTGTTTCGTCTAGCTTGAGGGGTGATGTCCTGGTCATCCTGGTCAGTCCAGGTGATGTTAGGTGGTTTTGGTGAGCTAGTGCTGCTGCAATTCAAGGGGACATCCTTAGTGTAATACTTTCTGTTAGCCTCTAACGTCAACTCTATTCGTGTATCATTCATACAGATACTGTATGGAGATGGTCCTAGATCTGCATCTTTGCACATATCACTAGCATCATTTAATCCTATCGGAAACTTGTACAAAATGAATTCCTCACAATTGAATGATTCTACCAAGAAAGAGTCCGTCGACAAGGAGCAGGGTGGATTAGTTTTAGTACTATAAAGCAAGAAGTAATATTTACTGTTTGTGTTGTTAGCTTCCCTGACATTGGGGACCAGTGCTATTTGGTAGAAACCATTGCAATGTCCTCTCTCTGGGCATATGGTTCCATTAGGAAACTCTGCTATCTTCACATACGGACCTTCATCAAATCTGAACCATTTATTTTCTGTCACGTTAAAATCACAGTCCCCACATGTTATTGGCATTGGTGGATCTACAAAGTTAGTGAAATTACAATTGTCGCTAGTGTTTCGGACTCTATCCCAGGGTGTGACATCGTTGAGTCCCTTGTACTCAGTACTCTTGTTGTAACTTGTGTAGGTGGAGGGGTCAGAGCAATTCGGGTACACATCTGCTGCTACTGCTACCCAGACTTGTATCATAACCAACATTGTCACTAATTGTAACCTCATCATCCTGTCCTGCAGCGTGGTATTACTGCAGCATTTTGTTAAAACTTTAAACAGTTGATGAAATTCTACTGAAAACGAAAACTGTTTTTAATTAAGAAGTATCCTCCAAGTAAGATTTTTAAATCAAAGTTTAAGCTAAAATAAAGTCAACTCTCAAAATACAAATGCAATACGGTGACTAGTTATGATTTATAGTTTGGGAGATAACACCAGTAACCACAGCAACATGTAACCAACCTGAGCAAATTATCCGTGATATTTAACACTGAATATGTTTGTTAATAAATCAAGAATACGGAATCGAAATCTCGAAAATGGAGTTTTGAATTATGTTGACGCACGACATTCACACAGGAGTCAGATGACAGTAACCATGTATCATTGGTAGTTATGCCTTAAGATTC